CTACTCATAAGACACATCAAGTTATCTCAGCTAGAGTAAATAAAATAATGCTAGCAATAGCTATGGCCTTTTACATTGTTAACTTCTTTCATGGTAAAATCGCCAACAACCTTTACAAATACAAACCACTACTACCATTAGATATTTCATATGCAGCTCCTTTTTTTTCATGCAGTTAAGCTTTATTGGTATTTTTATCAACTCTAATAGCAATCACTTGATAGTGCTAAAGCATGATTTTGCAAACAATCAACTAAGGGATGCATTATTATCCAAACTAATAGGGTCACTTTATTAAATACAAATACTAAATTAGTTTGTCATAAATTTTAATACTAGTAGTCAACGTAACACCAACAGACCAACCTTAAGCCTTTCACATCCAAGCTAGGGACCAACAATGGCATGAGTTTTGCCACTAGTTTTCAGCCTAAGAAAAGGATGCATATGCATATATGCCTCATCCTAGCGTTCTATGAACTGGAAAATTCAACTAATGAATCGATCCTACACCCCGATTCCTATTAAGTGGTAGATGGCGTGTTAACTTTAATTTGTGCAAGTTTTATTACACAACTTCTGTTCATGTTTACCTCTTAACTCTGTTATAAATTTAGCTCATAATCCCTTTAACAACAATTCCATCTACCTTGTTCAAATCTACTAGAATTAAAAACACCAAATCACCATGTAACTAGATTATCCATTTGACACAAGCACCCATATCCTATATTGTGCACCTTGCTATGAGCGATGCACCCTATGTACAATAATGCCTACAAGCTATGTTGCACTGATACACTTATTTATGAAGGCGTGCTGTATCCAATACAACGATATACGGATACACCTCCGATACGTGCCAAATATGACTTTCTGCATCCAATTAAAATACTATTTAATTTCAAAAGGACACGCGTATCCGATACTCATGTCTGTTGAAAAACAAAAAAAATCCGGAAAAAAAAAAACGCGTTGTATTTACTTCAGCGACTGTGAGTGAGGTTCTCTCACTTTCGAGATGGATTTGAGTCTCTTGATGATATGAGAATATTAGAAATTGCTAATCTTTCACTTGATGAACATGAATTAGAAGCTATGATATTTATTGAAGATGATATAGAAGTTCAAAGACAACCCACTGAAGAAGCAAATCATACATTCCCTCTATTGAATAGTTAAAACTGCATGTGCTAGACAATTTATTTTTATGCTTTTGTTGTTGTACTAGATATTTAATGCTTACTTTTATTTTAATATTACAAGGTACAAGGCTACAAATGATGTTGCTTTCAATTTTTTTATAATTTCAAATATTATGCTTTGATTGCTTTCTTAATTTTTATATATGATTTATAAATTATAATGTCGTGTCCGCGCCGTACTTGTATCTTGTATTTTTAAGATTTGACGTGTCCCGTATCCGTATCGTGTCGTATCCATGTCGTCGTATCCGTATTGATGCAACACATCCTACAAGGAACCCCAAGGGGTTGTTGGATTTGTTGATACATGATATTTGATGTTATATTATTAGCAAAAATCAAATATTTGGTCCACTAAAATATTTAAAACAATAAGATTACAAATGAAATTTAAGCCTTATTTGATGACATCTAATTGCCAAAAATATATGCATATAGACATTATGCCTACTTGACGGCTAAAATAAAAGACAACAAAATGAAAGATCATAATCAAGATTAACCATTCTAGAGATGATTTTACAATGATTGATAAAGATAACATTAAATCAAACACATTATATTTAGTAAATAATATTGTTAACTGAATAATATTGTTGTCTAGATAATACTACTATCTACATAACATACCAGCCCTGAAAAGGTTAATATTATTATGCCAAATGTAAATTTGTGAAGTGAATGCTTAAAATAAATGATAACACAACATTACCATTTTATAACAAAAAAGTATGGATTTTCTTGCATGCAACTCACATATAACTAAATTATGTTTATAATGCTTGCGCATTAAAATTTTATATGCTTCAACTATAATAGTTTAAAAAAATTAAAAAAAAAATTACTATCTCATTAATTTCCTTTGGCCATTTGCTCAATATCCATCCTTTTGCCTCTTAAAAATCTGAGCTCGAGGTATGGAATTTACATGGAAGTGTAATGCAAATATGAAACTCTTATTCTCATCCAATTGCTTAATTCAACTATTTTTTATTCCATGTTAGCATAAACAATTCCTTAATTTTGCCTTATGAAGCATGGACACTTTTAAATGGCTTTCGCATCCATGTTGAAAAAAAACATGGCTTCAAAAAGGCCTGCCACGTGTTTTACATGATAGATATTGTCAGTTTCTTAATAGAAAATATGAGTTCCAATACTTGGTTGATATTGCAAGACATAGTAGGACAGGCATGTTTTCTTGAAACAACTAGACACATCGTGTTTATGAGATACACCGTGCTTCAAAGTCAAGATTCACAAGAAATACAAGACCAATAAGAAATACAGGATTTGCCCTAATTCTCCTCTTCATATCTCAAAGTAGATGAAGTATGTCTCAGACATCCTCCTTCACCAGCTCATTCTTGCTTCTCACCCTCAATCATCCTCGTGTTGCATCTCAACTATCTTCCACGCCATGATACTAAGCTGAAGATGCAGCTTACTTGCGAGTCTCATCAACTTGCATCTCAACTCGCTTCCACGTTGTGATGCTAAAGTTGAATATGCAGCTTACTCGCAAGTCTCGTCAGCTTTTTCATTTCAAAGCTTTCCACCGTCAATCACATTCCCATCAAGTCAAAGACATATTCCACAAAGCCGAGCCATTACAACAACAACAACAACAACAACAAGCCTTTGTCCCACTACATGGGGTCGGCTACATGAATCCTTTTTCGCCATTGTGTCCTGTTAAAAGTCAAATTCTCATTTAAATCTAATAAAGAAAGATCATTTCTAATATTTTCTAACCAAGTCTTTTTATGTCTACCTCTACCTTTTTAACATAAGTCAAATTTAAGACCTCAACTTTCCTAACCGGGTCATCGGAAGGCCTCCGTTTAATGTGACCAAACCATCTAAGATGAGTCTCTTTAATCTTATCTTCCACTGGAGCTACTCCAACCTTTTCATGTATATGCTCATTTACTATCCTAACTCTAAGGGTAAAGCCACTCATCCACCCAAGCATCCTCATCTCTGCAACACTTAACTTAGTATCATGCTTCTCTTTTAATGGCCAACATTCGGCACCATAAAACATTGCAGGTCTCACCACCATCTTATAGAATTTTCCCTTAAGTTTGAGGGAGACTTTTCTATTGCACAATAAGCCCGATGCATTCCTCCACTTCAACCATCCAACTTGAATTCTGGTGATAATATCCCCATCAATTTTACCATCACTCTGAACAATAGATCCAATATATCTAAAACATATACTCTTATTAGTGACTTGATCGCCCAAAGTCACAATCCCCTCACTAGGTCGATTGTTACTAAAATTACACTCCATATATTCAATTTTAGATCTGCTCAAACGAAAACCTTTAGACTCTAGGGTTGACCTCTATAATTCGGTTTACCTTCAACTCCCTCTCTAGTCTTATCAACAAGAAGAATATCATCAGCAAAAAAGCATACACCAAGGTAGACCCTCTTGCAAATGTCTAGTGAGAAAATCCACGACTAAAGCAAAAAAGATATGGGCTTAAGGCTGATCCTTGATGTAATCCAATCGAAATAGGAAAATACTTGGTCAAACCACCTTATGTTTGAATACAAGTAATAGCTCATACATACATATATTTAATGATTTGAATATAAGCATTATAAACTCCTTTCTTTTCAAGAACTCTCCATAGCACTTCTCTTGGAACTTTATCATATGCTTTCTCTAAATCAATAAATATCATATGTAGATTCTCCTTATTCTCTATATATTTCTCCATCAAACCTCTTAATAAATATATGGCTTCCATAGTAGACCTACCCTGCATGAATCCAAAGAGATTTTGAGAAACATTAGTATCACACCGCAACCTACACTCCACAACTCACTCCCCTAGTTTTAAAGTATGACACATTAACTTAATTCCTCTAAAATTCACACACTCATGTGCATTACCTTTATTATTAAAAATATGAATTAACACACTCATTCTCCACTCATCTGACATCTTTTTAGTCTTCAAAACAATATTAAAAAGTTTAGTAAGCCAAGAAATTCTTTCATCTCCTAAGCATTTCCACATCTCTTTTGGAATATCATCAGGTCCAACAGCTTTTTCACACTTCATTTTCTTTAAAGCCTCTCTAACTTCGGTTTTACGAATACGCCGATAAAAACAAAAATCTTTATTTTCATTTAGGGTGCTAAAGTTACTAAAGTCGATCGTATTTTCACATTCTTCATTAAAAAGTTCAGCAAAATATCTCATCCACCTTTGTTAAATATCATCTTCTAAGAAAAAATACTTTTTAACATTTATCCTTAATACACTTCATTTGAACTACATTCGTACTGCTCCTCTCTTTGTTTGGTTAACTTATACATATATCTTTCTCCCTCATAAGTATTTAATATATTATATAAATCATTAAAAGCTAATCTCTTTGCATCTCAAATAGCTTTCTTAGATTCCTTACGAGCCTCTTTATAGCTATCCCAAGTATCATAATTTTTATATCTAAACAAATTTTTATAATAAATCTTCTTATTTTTTATCTTTTCTTGCACATTTAAACCTAGCTAAATTCATTGAACATTAATAAAAAAGTTGTCCAACAAACTTTATATTCAACAATTAAAAGCAAAATTTCTCCCAATCTTTGTAATATACAAGAGAGTGTGAACATGGGTGTATGAAATTTGAAATTCAAAAGATGATTTAACAATGAAAATCAAATTAAATTAACATGAATAATACACAAATTTTTTTAAAAAATACAAAACAAAACAAAACAATGTCAAAGATTATAACTAAGAAGGCCACAAAAACTGATATTTACCTCTCAATAGCCGACCCAGAGAATGCCTCAAGAAATATGAGCTGGGGCCTCCAATCCACCGGGGACAGCTTAAATTTTATGAAATTGTTATATAGGGACGGCGGACACGAGTTTATGCAGGTAAATAAAAGCAACTAAAGTTTTATTTCAGGTGGCAGGCTATTCTTGCAACTTACAATAAATCAATTAGAAAATCAAAGACAAAGAATGAAGCTTTCAGTTTAAAGAACCACCAATAAATACACAGCCCTAAATCTCCACCGCCGCAAACAAATATGTCACGAGGGGAGGATCAAACAACTCCAAAAAAGAAACTCTCGTAACAAATCTAAGAATCGAATCCCTACAGCTAAGAAGGCGGACCCTCGGAACCCTAAACAAAGAATTCGATTTAGCCCACGCAAAGAAAGGATAATAATCAATCAATAAGTTGAAAAAAAAAAACAAATTCAGCTGCAAATCTAAACAGAAATCATTGAACCACAATTTTCAGAATCCTAACCCTAGAAAATCAGAACAAACAAGAACAGTCAACGATCGATAAGGTACGGCGAAATTTGACGCGATGCGCCTTCGGTTCGAGGATCGAGGGCACGAACCAAAGGGCAATCGGAATGGAGATCTCAATTTGGGAAAAGACCAAAAGGGGGCAAAAAGCTGGTTTTTTTTTTTTCTTTCAGATTTATTTTCTTACTTATAAAGCGATAATTCAGAGCTCGGTCTCGATCTAACAAATCAAGCCATGCGAAATTAAATGACTCTAATACCCCTAAGTATTTTTGAAGAGCTACAAAGTTGACGATTTGCCTTAGTTTACGGGAAAGGTTATGGAGGGAATTAATATTTATGTAATGCTAATTTTGGAAATTACATGACAAGCCCAAATTGGATAAGTCTCCTTTTTAATACGCGGATCTTCTGCCATGAACGGTCAGGATCTGTTTGCCGACTGGTTGATGAACTACCTCTGAACTTCGCTTTAACAATTAGCTTTATGGCTCAAGGGGCGGTTTGGTAATATCCTGAATAGTTTTTTTTTTTTTTTAAACTTGTAAGTGATCCTTTTTTTTTTACCTCTTTCATTAATGGTATATGCTTTAAAAAAAATTAGTATATTTGTTCAATTACACTTTAAAATAACAATAATATAATGTCTTTACTTGTTTAATTAATGTTATATACATTCTTCTTTGTAATCTCATAACAAATTCACTCTCAATCTGTAATAAGAGGATAACTTGAAATCAGGTCATATTGCTGCAATTGCATCAACAGTCCTTTGTGTCAAAGGTGAATTGATAGCATTGAAGGGAATGCAGATGTCATAAAACTATCTAGTAACTACTAAATCAACTTTATGTAATGTATTCTTAGATGTCATTGCACTTTTCATAGATAGTTAAAATCATGATTTTGTTCTATGTTCAAAAAAGTTATATATTTCATTTTTTTTCATTTCTCAATCTCTTTATCATGTGCATCAGAATTTTTTGATTTTAAGAGTAAAGATGAACCTATCTCTTCCTCTACTGGATCAATAATAGATAAATCAGCATCGTCATAAGTCCTCTTGTATGTGACACTTGTAGGTTTATCATATGGATTGACTTATTCTAACCTAATCGAAAAAACTCCAAGGAGGATTCGGGAAGAAAAAAAAATAGTTTTTTATGCATTTTTTGTCATTGGCCCAGCTCATAATGTTTTTCGGGTAGAGGTAGGAAACATTATGTGTATCTTAATTTTTGAAAATACGAAGTTTTTATCTAATTTTTCGATCAAATTTCTATTTTTGATAGCAAAAAATGTGAATAACTTTGCACTTGTAAAATTTTCACCGCGTAACTTTTTATATGTTATAGATATTATGATTATATATTTTTTGAATGTTTTATAAAAAATTTATAACATGGGCTTTGAAATTTGTGAGGTTTTTCTTTAATATAATATTATCTAGACTAAAAAATAGTGTAGTACGATAAAAGTCTTGAAAATTATATTTTACACAATATATTGTAAATTGGTTATTTTATAAAAATATATTTTTTTGTTTAGTCGGATTTTTAATTACCTATCATTATAGAAAAATCATGCAATTCTCATGCTCAATTGCTATTTAATTGTTATAATGTGGTGATATATATGCATATGTGATTAAATTATATCCGATGTGATCCATAAAAGGTCAAAATCTTTTGAGATTATGTTTGTGTCAAGGAATATTCTTGTGTCTATAAGGCACATTCTCGTGGTTATAAGCCATATTATGGTTTTTACAGACATGCTCTGGTGCTATAAGCACAGAAAAGAGTCCTAAGGAGTCATAATCCTTTAAGATTTTATATATGTCAGGAAAATGTGATATGAACTGCTCTATAATAAAAATTACAATTTATTTATATGTATGATTATTTAATTAATTGAATAAGTGTTGTGTTCATATTATATTTCTCAGTATATAGATTTATTAGACTGCAGTTAACTACTTTTAAATATTTAACAAAATATTTAAAAAATAATTTAAAAATTTATATTGATTTGTGTGGTTAACTAAGCTATTGTAGCTCACTAGAGTTTGCTTATAGTTGTCAAGATTTGGGAAGGGGAAAGTGATTGTTAATTAGAAGTTCATGATCAGACTTGAGGTTATATGTATTTTTCTATTTTGATTTTTGTACAGTCATGACTAATTTTTTATTCAGTTCTATAACTTCTGCATGTAATCATGTAATGTATTGTAAATATATTTTAATGAAATAAAATAAATCTTGTGGTTAAATTTATTTTCAGTATTTGAATGTTTTAATAACTTTGTAGTTTATAGTTTATTTAAAATGAATATTGAAAGAGAATCTAAAATATTATGTGCCTAGATCTTGGGATTTTCATGACATAGCTCAACATGATAAGGCATTTCATAGTCGGGCTGGGGTTTGACATTATGCTTGTTATTTTCTCTTTAATATCTCATTCAAATTCTCTTTGCATCTGATAGCGGATGTCACGTGACACTTTCTTATAACATGCAATATTATCTTTAATCCGTGTCAAGTCTTGTTTCATCCTATTAATGCATCCACCCTTATTAGTAGTTCCATAATGTAGACATTTATATTGCTTCCTATCATCAACAGCTTTAAACTCTGCAAAATGATTCCAGCTAATATCTACTTTCTCCCACACGCTTTGAGTTGATGGCGCAAGTTGAATGTTTTGTTGATTCATTCTAAATATTGAGTTTAAGATAGCAAATAGAGAGAATCACTATCAAGAATCTACATCACAGTTGGTCATAAAGAAAGATTAATAAGAAGCATTAAATGAGCATTCCAATTAGAATAAAGTATCTACATCCATTAGTCACATATTACTTAGATAAAAGAAAGGTTAATATCATATTGTTCAATTCTAATTTCAATTCAAAAAACCTTTTGGAGACTTAACTCTATAAGTTGAAGTTTTATATCAGTGAAAACTTAACTCTATAAGTTTAAATTTTTTTATCAAGGCACTCCCTATTTCACTTTCTCCATAAGTCTATTTATAAATGTGTTGACAGTGTAAAAAATAGATTCAATTTCTATTGGAAGTCATGTTCTTATTCATCACATTTAGTAGTAGATTTTATTTCACGTAAATGTGGATATTCACATTTGTGTTTAGATATTATTATATATTATATTTCAATTTTAGGTTTGAAGTTTAGAAATGATCCAAAATGGAATTACTATCCTTTTGCACATTTTCACTTTGCTCCACTCCATTACAATAGTCTAAATACTAATGTTATTATTTATAATTCTTCATTTTAATTAAAATAGCATTGTGACACTTCTGAATCAGTGTGTCGATCACTAATAGTCACTTTGGTTCACAAGTCAACTTGATCCCACTACGACGTTGGACAATTTGGCGCTTCAGCTATTTGATCCGGCACTTTAGTGTTGTGTGGACAACATTTTGGCACTAAGCTCTAAACAAATTTTTGGTAAGCTCTTCGTTGCGGTGCTGGTCCGATTTTCATGATTTTCACTATTTTTCTACACAAAACATAAGAATTACAAACACAAAATAGCATATTAATATGCAATTGAAATGAATATTTTTTATCTTATAATGTATGCATTTATAGTATGCATTACCAGGCATTGAAGTTTATGACTTTCATGACATTAATGATATTTATTTTTATCCACACCTATATATAATCATATGATACAAACTGTAAAAATTCCTTCTATTTATTTGAGACGATCCTTAGGATGGTCAACTTCATACACAGACGATCCTCTAGTATTGTGGACATCGTATGGTATGATCAGAATAAAAATCATGAATTTTTTTTGGTACGATTCATGGGATGACCAATTTCATACACGGGTAATCATATAGTACGATCGATCATAATAATTATTCATGATTTGATTACTTGAAACCAGGAGATTAATTTAGAAAGATTTAATTATAGCATATAATACGAACCAAATCGTATAGTATGATCAACATATAATTAGTATCTTTCTTAGCCTTTGGTAACTAGGGTTTTAACATAGCACAACATACTGTATAGTATGAATTAAAATCGTACAGTACGAAATAAGGTCGTACAATATGAAGCTAAATTATACAGTACGATTTATTAAAAAAATGATATTTTAAAAAAATATTTTTCTCTCTCCCCCTATGTGTGTGCAAGATTAATTAACATTGATATCCACCCAATTACGTGATATGACTCAAGAAAGGAAAAAAAATACATAATAAAATGAAAAATGATTGTAACCCTAGTCTACCCAGTCTTGAGCTAATCAAAATTGTATGTGAATGGTGGACTAATTTTCTAAAATGTTAGTACACACAAAAATAAAATAAAATATCATAGAAATAAGATAAAGCAGTATAAGACATAATAATGTTTGTTATCGCCAAAATGATAGTGCTTGAACTAGGTTTGCAAGAGTCTCCCCCTTTTATGATGGAAAATATTATTATTTTTGGATTTTAAAAAAATTACTTTCCTCTAAACTCCTCCTTAAATGAAAATCAATTGTAAGAAAAAGGAGTGTAAAATTATATATATATATATATATACTATTTTAATATATGTTAGTAATAAAAAAATCGATTAAATGAAAAAAAAAAAAAAAAAAAACAGCCGACCAAAATTGACAGATGCTTTAGATTTGATTGCCCCAATGAGAGGCAAAGTGCCACAAGCTCTCTTGCAATTGGCAAACAAAACGATTTTCCCTGTCCCGCAGTAACACCAGAACCAAAATCCGATTCAGGAATCTTCACAGATCGCACAAACCGTTGGATCATCGATGGAGTCAGAGATTCCAACAAAATTCCACGACCAATAAATTGACATTCAAAGCTCATTACCGACCATGGAGGAACTCCTGAAATATCAGCCGTCAATATTGCATCAACGGTGACGAACATATCCACGTGGAATGGACTTTCTACCTCTTTGGTATCGTGATCCGCGGGTACTGGTATAATGTCTGTTGAAGGACAGATGCCGCATCCGTACGCTAAATCCATTTCGCGAATCACTTCAAAAAGTTAAGAACTGGTAATTTCCGCGGGGCGATCTTCGATCTGCCCTACTTAGATTTTCAGGTATGGCTTCTCAGTTATAAAGGCGGATGCTTTGTGCTTCTCTTTGCAATTTTACCACTTTTTTTTTTCCTTTTGGCTCTCTATGGATCGTATGCTTGTTTTTAGGGGTGTTTAATGGAAAGATTGAGTGGGATGAATTACGCAAGCTTATGAATTGATGAGTTTAACTGTTTAAGGGTTTTTTTGAGCAAATTTGAATATTTTTGCGAGATCGGAGGCACAGTGGCATATGTAGGGTTTGGTTTAGAAAAGGATTTATGCTATTCTATTTGTTTTGGTAGGGTTTTGGTGGAGCTGGTGATGAGAAATAATTGATTATTCGACTTCTCATTTCTTAGTAAGGTGGGAGTTCCATGAGGGTTGTTTGGTATCAAGCTTTTGGCTGGATTTACTTAAATATTGCCAAACGGTTTTTTGGGCTGGATTTACTTAAATCCTAAGATGTTTATAAATCTGGTTTACCTTTGTTATTTACTAAATATAGGTTTTGTAAATCTCTGTTGCAGTGAGAGGGGAGAGTTCACCCAAATTTTACTGCGGGCTTCTATAATATATAAAGTTGAAATAGAATTTAAGCTGGATTTAACTTGATCTTAGGAGTGCAAGGTATCCCAGCTCCATGGGGGTTGCGTGCAATGTTGCCCTGACCTCTTTATATAAAGTAGGAAGAAGCATCCATTGGTGTGTCCCATGATTTTGTCTAGGATATGCGGAAAAAAGTAACGGCCTTTCTGTATCCATTGCCTCCGCCATCACAAGCATCACCACCACCGTCATAGTTGACGATGATTGCTAGTTGTGAGGATGGACAAAATAAGAGATTGTAGCCCATCTATTATGAGATAAGACTAGTGCAGAGAGGGAGTTGTTTTGACTTTTAGCATGTTGAAATAATAAAAAATTATAAAAGTATGGAATAATTAATTTGATTACATAATCAAACTGTACTTATAGGCGTCTTGCGATGCATTTGTTTATTAAATCTCATAATCTCTTTAATAATAATCCTGAAAAAAATTGCCAAATAATTTATCTAGTTTTGTTTAGTTTTGACAGTTGCCATGCCAAACAATTTTCAAAATTTAATATACTTAGGATTTACTAAATCCTACTTGTAGCCACATGTTTCCCATTATGTTTTTATTGATATTGAAAGATATTATGAAGTTTCATTTATTTGGTTGGTATTAAACTTTCAAATATATTTATGATTGAGCAATGAGTATCGGTAGAAGTATCCTTGGAGTGATTGAAGGATATTTTAATCATACTACTAAAATTAGGTCCATATGAGTTTTGGAAACAATTACAAAACATATTTAAGTGAATATTACCTTAGATGACATTGTGTTGACAACATTGTGAATGTTAATGATGTAGGACTAAGATGCTTATAATGAATGCAATAAGAATTTGCACGATTCTTTGATAAGAGCAAGTATGATTAAAGCTATTAGCAATTTAAAACGATAAGATAAAACGAGAAAAGGGTGCCTACGCTTAGGCTAAACCACTTGTCAAATGCTTGATTTATCAAAATAACGTAGAATATCAATAAAATGTGAATTAAGTAGCTTTCAAACAAAATCCCTATGCTAACAATGATATTAGAAGCATAAAGATCAAACTCAAGTCCTACGATTATTAGGCTCGGCAGAAATAGATGAACAAGACCTTCATTAATTAATCATATCACAAGAACAAGTTAGACAATAAAAATATTAGAAAAAGATGATTGGTAAACTGATGTGAAACCAGAAATTGTTTCTTAGAAATTAATAAAAGTTGGTAAGAATAATGATAATACAATTTTAAGGCTTCTCACAATTGATGCTTCAATAAAGATCTAAGAATTTAACAAAGTCTAGGCAAGTTGTTACCACTAAATTTGCAAGATCTATAAATAACAACCTCAATCAAAAAGTAATGACAATGAATAGCCAACTAGAATCCGGCGGTTAACAAAGCAATCGTCTCACCTTGAGGCTTAAGATCACTCTTCTATGTCTAGGGTTGTCGTAGGAAGAAGAACCACACAAGGAACGAGATCACTTCGAGGTAGACGGTGCCGGCGATCCGTAGTGATGGAGAGGGAGGCGTTGGATGTGGAAGTGGCGAGGAATGTTGACCGTCAATGATCCACTCGTAGTCGGCAAACTGTCGGTCGACGACTTGCACAAGAATGGGGAGGATTCGATCCAAGTAACCTCCAACTGTGTCGTCTTTGTGATCAAATCCCGCGTCGAAGAATGGAGATCGTAGAATGTTGATATTACCGTAGGCGTCGAACACAAGTCCCCATTCAAGTTCAGGATCAACCATGCATGGTGGGATTGAATAGGGGAGAAGAAATAGAGAGGTGGGGACTTGTCGTGAGCTAGGGAGAGGGAGGGAGGCCACGGGTTGGTGGGAATAGAGTGGGCGGGTCCTCCACGGGTTGGTGGGAATAGAGTGGGCGGGTGAGGCTATGGTGGAGAGAAACCAAATCTGAATTTTATTTCAGATTCCAAATAAGAACTGCAGTTTTAATTTCAATTTCAAATTTGAAATTTGAAATTAGAGAAAGAGAGGGAGGGGAATTAAAGAGGCATTTAAGTAGTAATTAAGTGGGGATTGGAGAGAGAAAAGAGGAGGTGGCCGGCCCCACGGGGAGTTGAGAGAGCACTCAGATCCATGACGTGACCTCTCTAGAGAAAATCATGGAATTATCAAATCTGACATTTAATTCTCAGGTTTACTGTTACAGGAGGATTTCCTAAATAACTTGCCTCTAGACACGTTGGAATTATCCCGTTAATTGAAAAGAAATAACACAGGCCAACTTTCCAAATAGCAGGGGATGTAGAATAGGAAAGAAATTAAGGCTTGGGCATGGGATTTCAAATTTTTGAAACAGGTTTGCTGGTGGGCTGAAGTGGGGCGGCTGTGGGAGCGGTTGGGAGGGATGGCCGGTGGCTTGGGTGTGGGTAAGGGCCGCCGGTGGCTAGGCCGGCCGAGGGAGGCCGGCGGTAGAGCTTGGGTGGTGGTGGGGAAATGAGAAGAGAAAGGAATTTCGGCTAAGTGGGGGAAGAAAGGATTGGAGAGAAAAGAAACAAAGAAATTCCAAATGACTAACCTTGAACACCATTCCACCGGTCGAACTCACAAAGAGATCTCCGACGATCTTCTCTTCAAGAACTCACAAAGAGATCTTTAGAGGCTTCATGAACTTACAAAGAGAATCATCAAAATAAAAATTTTCATTTTTCAAAAATAAAGAGCGAATACAATGATAAAGCCTATATATAGGCTATCCGAAAATAAAAGACAAAAGACAACATCGCCCTTGGGCTACAATAAACACAAACTCCCTCATAGGGGTACAAATGAAAAAACACGAAATAAAAATTACATGAATAAAATAAACATCAGAAATAAAGACTCTGAATCATGGCCGTCGCTCGACGACCCCTCCGATGGTACGTGTGCCGGAATCTTCTATGGATGTCCTCATCATAAACCCTTATCACAGTTGGGTTGTAATCCTCCACTGAACGGTGCCAAGTTGTTCTTCTATGGCATCGACAAGGGTGTCCAGAATGCACTCTACGTACTCTTCGATGGTGTTGTCGATGTTCGGATTGACGTCGAAGAAGGTGGAGCGAAGGATGCTAACAAACACTTGTTCGTCGTAGGCGAGACCGTAATCAAGATCTGGATCGGCCATGCATGATCTTTGAAGGTTGAGATGTTGAAGACGATCGTTGATGCTCTCCTTGAAGACTCCTCTTGAGAGGGAGGAGATAATCTTGAGAAATTAAGAGGGGAAAGGGGAGGGAGGTGGCCGCCCCATGTGGGGCCGCCTGGAACAGGACAGGTCTAGGTTGGATTGGTCCAGCCGGCCCCTCATGGGCCGGCCTAACAGATTTACTTAATCATACTTGTAGCCACATGGTCCCATAATGATTTTATTGATATTGTAAGATATTATGAAGTATCATTTATTTGGTGGGTATTAAACTTTCAAATATATTTATGATTGAGCAGTGAGTATCATTAGAAGTATCTTTGTGAGTGATTGAAGGATATTTTAATCATACTACGACCATTAGGTCCATATGCCTTTCTATTAGTTTTGGAAACAATTACAAAACATATGTAAGTGAATACTACCTGAGATGACATTGTGTTGACAGCAATGTGAACGTTAAGATTGAAAATTGATAAAATTAAGAAATATAGAGTGATTTATACTTATATTAGAGAGACAATGAGATTAGCACTAAGTAAAGATAAGATAATGATTTATAGATTGAGGTGATTTGGGCATAAGGAATGGACAAATGGAGGAAAAATATGGATTGGGCAGATCAATTGTCCACATGTAACATGGCTAGAATTTGTGCACATGAATTATTTAAACTAAAGTTAATTTCTTATGCATCATTCGATATGAATGAAAGGAGAAAGAGGGTTCAGAAACCAGCACTAAATAGTTGGTAAAGGGTAATTATGATAATGATTGTGGTGGTGGGAGTTGTTTTTTATTTGAGTGCTTCTTTGTATTCATATTTCTGTTTTGCAAGTTTGAACTACTACATTTCTGCTTAACTTGACCTTTATTTCTGATGTGGATGTTGAGAGAGATATATCCAGCGGTATTATCTAGGTTGTAGTCTTTGGTTGCATAACTCTATTAGGACTAACTCTTTGAGCTTCTTGTTTTCCTTTTCAATGATGTGATAATAATATTTCCATCATTAAAAGTTTTTTTTTCCTTTTCTGTCGGGATCTCCCAAAGGTTTCAGTAATGTAAGAAATCATTGTTTTGTTTAACTCCTTGATTCATAACGGCAGGTTATGGACGCGCCATTCATTTAACTTTGAAGATCTATGGTACCTTGTCTTCAATTTCTGCCATGGCAAAGATCATAGAAGCCTGTGATCATTATCTCTGATTGAGTGACAAATCCATGTGACTAGAAACTCTGGGGTATTTCATGGACAACAGCTTTCTGGCGTCTGTTCGCAGGAATGGTGCTTGATATTCATGTTCCTTACATCTTTCAGCTGAAGTTGGAGGTGTGGTGTTGGACTAAAAAATAATCTTTTTTTCTTTATTAGTTTTAAATTCTAATTTCTTTATGCCTCGATTCTATTATGCACTATTTATGTATCCTATTATTTCCAACTGAGATGTGGTATTGTTCTGCCTTTCTTAAGGAGGATGGTTTCTTGTTTCAAATGGGGAAATATATAGCTGTGCAGAATAGTTATGTTAATGGAATATTTTAGAGACCAATTGAGGGCACTGCTTCATAGGTGTAATAACAGCATTTCTGACATGGCAGAGTCTCAGATTTTCATTGTTGCTGGCCTAACTGCTTCCTTGATTGGAATACTGACATTTGCCTATGCCATGTTTCAATGGAGACGAAGTATTAGCCTAAGCTGGATGAAAGCTATAGCAAGGTCAAAAAAAAATCGGAAAAGAAAGAACAAAGCTCCTGCTGTTGCTCATGTATGGAGCATCGAATCAGCATCTCGTGCTAAAGGATTAAACTGTTGTGTATGTTTAGACTCGCTATCGCCATCTCAAGCCCTCGGGCAAATGATGGCCTCTGATTATTTCATTCACCGATGTGATGTCTGTGGTGCAGCTGCGCACCTGACTTGCTTGTCCAGTGCGCATAAAGACTGCAAATGTGTATCCATGTTTGGTTATAATCATGTAATTCATCAGTGGGCTGTGCAGTGGGTGGTGATAGCAGATAGATCTGAAGAGACTCCTTATTGTAGTTACTGCGAAGAACCTTGCGGTGGATCGTTTCTCGGTGGCTCGCCATTTTGGTGCTGTATGTGGTGTCAACGACTTGTGCATATAGATTGTCATGGAAGTTTAGCCAAGGAGACCGGCGATATGTGTGATCTTGGGCCATTTAAGCGCCTTATTTTATCACCACTTCATGTAAAAGATGTAAATAAAAGTGGTGGGATACTTAGTTCTATAACACAAGGTGCAAATGAATTTGCATCGAACATACGTGGGCATATGAGGAGCCAAAATATGAAGTCCAAGCATGGAACCTTACCTGCCGATTCTTCCAACACTTCCAATTTAGCGGACTTATCTGCTGAAAGCACAGTAAATTCCCACCAAAATCATATAGGCTTTAATGAAAATTTAGAGCATTTAGCTGAGAAGGTTGATACTGAAAATTTGCACCCAACTAGTGAGAATGGTTACAAGGATGTGTTGAAACAATATGCTTTGAGAAGTTATTCTTTCAACCAGAGTAATGATTCTGGTGTGGAAGGGACAAAACTGAAATATGAATTGATTGATTTGCCTCCTGGTGCACGCCCGCTTCTGGTTTTCATTAACAAGAAAAGCGGAGCCCAACGCACAGACTCACTTAAGTTGTGTTTGCGCTTCCTTTTGAATCCTGTTCAGGTCGGTCTTTATATTCTCTCTATTGAATATATTAAAATGCCTTTTCTTTATGTGAACTTGTGGATATTGATGATGGGTGACAATGTTTTTCCTTTCGTATCTACATCCTTAAAGTGCTTGCTATATGAGAACTTATGTTATTTCTGAGCTCCCCATCACTATTATTCTCAAAGTGCTATTTCAGAATTTATATTATTTATGAGCTTATTATTACTTAGTTTTGCAAAATACTAGGCGTTATCTTCTAGCATCAATATGTTTCTGCTTCTTGCCCTATGGTTGAAGTGCAATAGTATGTAACGGCCTGTTAATTTTGTTTGTGATTTAATTCCATCATAGTGAACAATATATATTGTGTTTTTGTGCATGGGCCTAACTTGCTCTTTAGATTTGAAGAAAAGCTTAGTTTATTTTTATTTGCTCTTGTTTTGTACTTACGTGTCTACTATAGAGTTAATGGTCCTTTTGATCAATCTAATTATTTTTCTTAAATGCCATATGTCATTTATATGGTTCTTTAAATGTTTCTATCTCGAGTTGATTTGACCCTTTCTCAATAGTAACTCAAAGTCAAATGATGTAGTATCTAGTAGAGCTAGGTTTATCTACAAGTTAGTTTGATCTAAGTTTATTTGAACTCAATCCAAGCCAAAGTGGTGCAAATTCTTTTTTGATCTCTAGTTTTCTAATGCGGGTTTAATCTTGGGTACAAGGGATGCACAAAATATGCGCAGTTTCATATTTGCAATTCATAAACCTTTAATTTAGATTGCTATTTATTCCCTTAGATGAAATCAAAATCACGCTAAATTCGCATAAATGCTAATTTAAAAGTTGTCTATTAAAAATTTTAAATAAAAAATTAGTAGCATGAAAAATCCTATGTTTCATCGGAAACTTGATAAAAAATTTAGATTGTACCAAATTTGGCAGTAACTAGCCACACGTAAAACCCAATTACTACAATTAGAGATTATGAAAGTGATCACTAAATAATAAATTCAGGCCCCATACTGGTACAAGGAGATAACTTCACTTAAAAATCTGTAATTTGGAATGCCCATCTTAATTTAGAATCAATTTTTTAGGCTGCTATGCTGGACCAATCGATGATAGAAAATTTATATTTATTTGTTTTATGGTTGTTGGTGATAACTTGGTCAGATGAAAAATAAGGAAACAATCTGTGGTGATGATCTAGTGCTGAGGTAAAATGTAGAGCTATGACATAATGCTGAGGTAGAATATAGAGCTATGACACATTCCACAGGTGAGATGATCTGGGTAAAAAAATTTGGAGGAATTTGGATTTTTTACTGTTTGATCTATCAACTTTTATTGTGATATTGCTAATAATTCACTTTCATGAAAGAATCAAACAAACATATTTAGGTTGGATGTCTTTTCATTTAGGATGTTTTGTTGCCTAAGAAAATTTATTATTGACCTTCCTTGCTTTAATCAACTTGCATATATTTTCACCAAATCCTTGTGACCACCTCAATTTCAAAACCATATAGCAAGAAAACAAAATCTAACTGATAGTATTCTTTCTTCTATCATATATATAAGGTCCTTCTATTCAATAAAGGAACAAAGTTTTCTATCAAATCCTATCAAAGTTACTAAAACAATCTTTGTTTGTACTGTTTTATACAAGTGTTACTTCATCGGAGTGAACTTGGTTTAAAACTGGAAGATAAAATATTAGTTGGGGAGATCAACTGTGTGGATTTGTCTCATTAAAAGATTTTTTTGAGCTTCATCCACGTTTGAAAATTTTTTGGAGCTTATGAGAAATTATCTTTTCTCCCGTGACCTGTCTATACTAATTACCACTTTTTCCAACTTAAGGTTTAAGTTGCAACACCTTGTAAATATTTGTGATTCTCATGTTAGGTATTTGAGTTGAGTTCAGCCCAGGGACCTGAGCATGGTTTACAGTTGTTCAAAAAGGTGCGTCACTTTAGAATCCTTGTTTGCGGTGGCGATGGAACGGTTGGTTGGGTTCTTGATGCAGTAGATAAGCAAAACTATGAATCTCCTCCACCTGTTGCAATTCTTCCTGCTGGCACTGGTAATGATCTTGCAAGAGTTTTGTCATGGGGAGGTGGTCTTGGTGCTGTCGAGAGAATGGGAGGTTTGTGGTCTGTCTTAGAGCAGATCGAGCATGCTGCTGTCACCGTTCTAGATAGATGGATGATAACGATAGAGGATTTACATGCGAAGCATGTCCAACCACCACGATTTATGAACAACTATCTTGGTATGTAATGTTAATCTTCTTCTCTGAGCTTTTTATGAAATTTCAGCACCGTAACTGTCCTGTGCTGACAGGAATTGGTTGCGATGCAAAAGTTGCTCTTGAAATTCATAATCTTCGTGAAGAAAATCCAGAGAAGTTTTACAACCAGGTATTTAGATTTCTTTTGCGTTACCAGTTTTGCAATTTTCTTCATTTTTAACCTTCCAAGACGCTTATGATAATACAGAATAACAACTTCTATGGAAATTCTTCAGTGGTATATTTTAATTAGTAGCTGTTACATTTAAAGTTGATGCAAGGAATCAGTTTGGCTCGTATTGCAATAGTGAATTAGTCCATACATTACGACTAAGAGACCAAAGTTTGTCTAGTCTTCTATAAAGTTGACCTTTTTTAATTTGTTCAATCGTGTTGATTACTGTATGGCTAGTTGTGCAATATTACATTTACAGAACTTTCTAAGCATTCTTGTCAATTGAATTGCATTCATGGTTATGATGATGCTGAAGAATTACATTCATTTTGGACTTTTGGCTTTTTGTATGTTCATTATCTTCTAATAGTAATGTTAAGTGTGACTTATTAAAGGGTCCCTAAACTTTTTAGCTGTATCTACACATTAAATTTGAATCAGTTTTTTCTTTGGACGGAAATTGGTGGAGGGAAGCTTTCCATCAATGCATCCTGGATTTTTAAGGTTCAATCTCTTTAACTTGAGTTGTATTTAAATAGTGAGATTGACCCTAAAAGTTCAAAAAGCCTAAAGGTTTTCTTTTATCAATTTCCATTCAAGGAATGGCAAAGCTAATGTTGACCAAATTGGTTCAAATTTGGTAATTCGTGAGACTAAATTAAACGCCTAAAAAAATTGGTGCTGAAGTGAACACACCATGTCTTCACTATCTCTATCATTTAATCACAAGGTTAATGCAAGGTGATTAAAAATGATGAAGCAAGGAGGACAGTTCTTGCCAATTGTTTATTAGTTTTTTTTAACTGACACTCTTTACTTGCATAATTGGAATGAATAGCAGAGAATTGGACAATGAAAATGATATTTTTGACCGAGAAAAAGACAAATCTCATGGCTATTGTTAGCAAGAATACTGCTTAATATAAAAAATGTACAACTGTGGGACAATGAAGTGCCTTTGAGATGAAAGCTGTGAATTAATATTTTGGGCCAGGTGGAGAAGGGAAGGTAAGCCAGCAATGTTTGTAAGATATTCCCAAAGATTCAAGTAAACCAAGGATGGTACTAAATCAATGGTACTAGAGATTCCAAATGAAGATCAGAAGATCCATGGCTTGTGATGATAGTGATGAACAATGGCTGCATGTGATTTTACTGCATATTGTTTTCTTTTTTAGTACTCTTTTTTATATTTTGGGGGCTTGTCTGTAGTTCTCTTTTTTTTGAAGTTGCTTTCGTCCAATTTTATGCTTGCTCCTTAGAACATCTCGCTTATTTAAAAGCTAAGTTTGGCTTCACAGAGTCCCAAAAAGATTTAATACGGCTTTCTTACTACTTTTTAAAGCAGCTTTTTAGTACAAAATTAAAAATTTTTGTACTAGAAAGCTGCTTTAAGAAGCAGAAAGAAAGCCGTCCCAAACGAAGCCTTAATCTCTTGTTACAATTATATGTTTCACTCCTCTTGCCTATCTGTCTACATATTTCACGTACTTTATGGTTTAAGTTGCGCTTATCTACTTCTACAACTCAAATATTGATCTGATTAATGCAGTTTTTGAACAAGGTGCTCTATGCACGAGAAGGTGCCAAATTTATCATGGACAGGACATTTGCTGATTTTCCATGGCAAATCAGACTAGAGGTTGATGGCACTGAAGTAGAAGTTCCTGAGGTCTATTTCAACCTAATTTTTTGACGTATATGTTTGTGAATATATCATGGCTCTCCACATCCATGTTCCCAAGTCGACTTGAACTGGATAATATACTAACAAATTAAAGATACAAGCACCATATTCGCTTTCACTTCATAAGTTGCTTTATTTTTGTGATAGAATTTGTTTATATTTACAAGTGCTTGTATGTCCAAAATATCAATCTGCAACAACAATAAGCTTTTATCCAACAACAACCCCAATCCGCATGTGTAAATTTTTTTGGGTTCTAAATAAGTGGGCCTATATTATGCTTTAAAAGACTGAATTAAGTAGTCTTTAATTATATTTATAAGTATGGAAAAGACGATTTTATATTAAATCAAATATTCTAGAGTAGGGATAACTGAGTTAAGCCGATTCGGGCTCGACTAGATAAATGACTGAATTGAACTCGATGAGCTAATGAGTCAAGCTTGAGCTAGCATTGATTCGAATCGTTAGCTCATGAGGATTTTCATTAAAAAAAGAAGCTAATATAAAATGCATTTAGGATAATTTTGAATTTAACAGTAAGTATCAAGTTATTAAAATTATTTAAAAACTTTATCACTTTTTTTATATCAATTTCTTATTATTTTTTCTTTAATTTCTCATTTTTTATTATTTTATTGCAAAAATTACTTGTATTAAAATTATTTTCTCTTTCATAATAAATGAGTGAGCTCATGTCTTGAATCAACCTTATAGAATTTGAGCCCGAGCTCGAGCTCGAGTTTGAGCTTAAACTTGATTAATTAATCAAGTTCAAGTTTAAGTTAGGAGTGGCTTGAACTTATGCTTGTCTCATTTATGCCCCTATTCTAGAGTCTCTTTTATAGTTTGACCTTATGCCCATATTTGAGATCTATTTTGTTTAGTTGAAACTTGAAAGTATTTAGACATGAGTTCTAGAAGTGGGTTCCATTGAATTGAGTTTTTTTTTTTTTGCAAAAATCCACTCCTTAAAAACCCAATTCACGTTGTTTAGGTTGCATTTTTTTAGCCATCATTCCATGAGTTTTATATTATTTTTGTTAGTAAAGTAAAGCAGATAGAAAATACAGCAAATAGTAGAAACAGAGTAATGAAGCTCAGCAATATTTCCTCTTGCTCTTTCAACTTAAAAACGTATTACAGCACAGTGAAATACTTATATAGTAAACTTGGTAGAGACAAGCATACAGAGGTTGTTATAACAACCCATGTGCGCATACACCCAATACGAATATTCATTTCTAAAGTAGCAGTAGCACGTGCAGCACACGACCGTGAGCACTCATTGCTTAACACGCCCCGTCAAACTGAGGAAGCGTTGGTTGTAACCAGTTTGCTACAGAGGAATTTAAATTGCTTGATAGGTAAAGATTTTGTGAAGAGATCAGCAATTTGATCCTGGGTAGCCAAATGATGAACTATAATTTGCTTAGTTTGAATACAATGCCGGATGAAGTGACAATCTACTTTGATATGTTTAGTTCTGGCGTGAAAAACAGGATTATTGGCAAGCGCAATTGCTGAAGTATTATCACAGTATAAAGGTGTAGGCGCTGTTGGAGGTGAGTTGAAATCAGAAAGTAATCTTCGAAGCCAAATGATTTTAGATGCAGCAGTGGCTAAAGCACGATATTCAGCTTCAGTCGAGGATCGAGCTACTGTGGATTGTTTCTTTGCTTGCCAAGAGATGATAGATTTGTCAAGAAAATTACAATACCCGGAAACAGATTTACGGTCACGGGAGTCACCAGCCCAATTTGAATCAACATATCCATGGAGAGAAAGTGAATCTCGATAAAATGGAAGTCCATGAGTAAGCGTACCATTGATGAATCGAAGTAAGCGTTTTAGTTGTTCAAAATGAGATTGTAGTGGGGTATGCATGTGTTGGCAAATTTGCTGAACAGCAAAGGTAATGTCCGGACGAGTTAGTGTTAAATATTGTAAGGAACCGGCGAGCTGACGGTATAGAACCAGATCAGGGAAAATTTGTTGAATGCCGACATCTGAAGCAGATTTGGACTTACTGGGAGTGGAAACACATTTGCTGTTGTCCATACCAGCCTTCTGAAGTATGGACCGAGCATATTGAGTTTGGTTTAAATGTACCCCATAAGAAGTAATAGTCACCTGAATCCCGAGAAACTGGGAAAGAGATCCCAAATGCCGCATGGAAAATGTAGTTTGTAAACTGCTCAGCAAGCTGTCTATTGTTTCTTGATCATTGCTGGTCAATAAAATATCATCCACATATATTAAAATGTAGAGAATTTTAGAGTTGGATCGAAACACCATAAGAGAAGGATCGGCATCACTGAATTCAAAACCAAAATTCTGAAGATGACTGGACAATGTGGCATACCATTGTCGAGGTGACTATTTTAAGCCATAAATGGCTTTCTTGAGACAGCAGACATGATCTGGATATATTGAATCAACAAACCCCGGAGGTTGTTTCATGTAAACGCGACCAGGAAGGGATCCATGAAGAAACGCATTTGAAATATCCAGTTGAGCAATCGGCCAAGAATGATGGATAGCCACAATAATAAATACTCGAACCGTATGCATCTTTGCCACGGGACTGAAAGTTTCCTGATAGTCTAAACCAGATGCTTGATTAAATCCTTGTGAGACCAAACGGGCCTTGTACCGAGCAATTTTCCCATCAGAGGTGAGTTTGGTACGATAAATCCATTTGCAACCAAGCACATTGTGAGCTTCAGAAGAAGGAACAAGATCCCAGGTTCCTTGTGACTGCAATGCTTGAAATTCAGTGGACATCGCCTTTCGCCAGTGCTCTATTTTAAAAGCCTGCACAAAATTGGTAGGATCTTCTGGATAGATGAGATGAGTAAGATTGAAAATATGCTTTGGTTTTATGATGCCATGCTGTAGACGGGTAACCATAGGATGATTACGTGGAATTGATGAAGACTGGAAAGATGGCTGAGACAGAAGTGGAGTATGAACAGAGAGGGAGTTAGATGAACCATTAGGAGAACTGGCTGAATATGTTTTTGATGAGGGTGTAGATGACACCGAAGGCTGATTCGAAGAAGGAGAGGAATGAAATGTAGGAACAAGTAGTAATGGTGGAATATGACTTGGAGACTGAGATGGTGCCGTAGAATTAGATGATTGAGAAAAAGGAAAAACGAACTCATTAAACACAACATGACAGGATATGTAAATTTTGTGTGTAGACAGATCTAGGCACCGATAACCTTTCTGAAATGAAGCGTAGCCAAGAAAAACACAAGGTCGAGAGAATGGAGAGAGTTTGTGAGAGGCATAGGGACGAAGCCACGGATAACATAAACACCCAAATACTTTAAGATGATCATAGGATGGGGCTGTCTTATAAAGAAGCTCATATGGAGATACATTGCATGTATTGGATGAAGGCAATCTATTTATTAAATAAACACTAGTGAACAGAGCTTCTACCCAAAAATAGTGAGGAAGATGAGCAGCAATCAACAGGGAACGCAAAGTTTCACAGATGTGGCGGTGTTTACGTTCAGAAACACCTTTTTGAGATGGTGTATAAGGACAGGTATACTGATGAAGAATGCCATGGTGTTTTAAAAAGGTTTGAAAGGAATTATTCAGATATTCCCCTCCACCATCTGTTCGCAAAATTTTTATAGGAGTTTGAAATTGACAATCAACCATCCGTTTGAACTCACAAAATTTTGAAAATGCATCGGATTTCTTTAGGAGAGGATATACCCAAGTATAGCGAGTGCAATAATCAACAAACAAAAGATAATAACGGTAACCAGAGGCAGAATTTGTGGGAGAAGGATCCCATATATCGGAGTGTATTAATGTAAAAAACTCATTACAACAACTTGATGAAGATACAGACGGAAGACGATGGCTCTTTGGCCAATCGACATACATGACAGACAGACGAGTTTGCAGTTTTGCAAATAACTTAAATTTTATTAGCTAAAGAAGATAAAGTGTTGAACGCAGGATGTCCCAACCGGTGATGCCACAGATCGGGAACGACTTGAGCAGAAACTAAAGCAAGGGATGGGAGCTTGGACGTTGACGCTGAAGAGGAGGAAACCGGATATAGCCCATTAATACATGGTCCCTGAAGAAGAGGCCGCTGAGTCTTCCGGTCCTTGATAAGATAGCCAGAAGAAGTGAAAGAAATGTCACAATCATTATCATTAGCTAAACGATGAGCATAGAGAAGATTAAAGGAGAGATTTGGAACAAGATGAAATTGAGACAATCGAAGGCTACCTGCCGGAGTGGGTAGGATACCTTTACCAGTATTTTGAATCGGAATGTGCTGACCATTTCCGAGAATAACCTGATTTGATCCACTGTATGATTGAGAAGATTGAAGAAGATTTGGATCAGAGGTTAAATGAGATGAAGCTCCACTATCCAGAAACCACTCAGTTGCCGGCGTAGAATTGGCAGACGTAAATAGAGCAGAATTTGGCGGATCATTAGTGTACTAGGGGTCATGGCGATACCAGCAACGGACGGCGCTGTGACCCGGTTTGCCACATATTTGACAAGCAACAAACGATCGAGTGGAACGACCACCACGACTACTGGGGGAGGTAGCTGGAGATGATTTTGCCAGTGGAAGTGATCGTCCACGAGAGTTATTAAACCGTCCATGGCCACGACCGCGAGAGGCAACGAGTGCAGTAGCAGAGCTGGTGAGCTGAAGCGAATTTAATTCGCGTGTGACCTCATGTGCCAAATTCAATACTTCACTGCACAATAAGGTGTACAGGTCATCGAGTGACAATGGCTGAAGATTCGTTCGGATGGCTGTTTTAAACGCCTAATAGGTAGCTGGCAAACCATTCAAAGTGTGATGGCTAATTTCTTCTGAATCAAGCGTCAGGCCAGAGGCGGCTAAGGAATCAACCTTATCTTTAATTTCCAGCATATAAGTTGTCATTGACTTGTCTTTCATGGTAAGATGCTGCAACTCATTCCACAATTGCATAATGCGTGATCGAGTCGACGACTGAAGCCGTTTGGCTATGGTATTCCAGATTTCGGTACAATGTTCAAGATCTAACACATACGGAAGAATAGCGGGTGAAATAACAGAATAAAGTGCTGCAGCAAGATTCTGATCAATAAGAACCCAAGAAGTGTATTGCGGATTTAAGAGAGGAGAACCGCTCGAATCAGAAACAAATTTCTGTGGACATACAACAGTTCCATCGAGAAACCCCTCACAGCCATTGGCACGAAAAAGTTTGGCAACTTGTGATTTCCAGGTGGGATAGTTTTCCGCTGTCAATGGACTAGCAACTATGTTCTTCACATTGGACATCAAGAACTTTAACTGGGATGGAATAGTAACATCCAACATCCCTCCATTTGCGCCAGCTTTGTCTGGCTGAACAATCGACGACGCAGATGATGAACTCATCAGGAATCACTGCTCTGATACCATGTTAGTAAAGTAAAGCAGATAGAAAATACAACAAATAGTAGAAAACAGAGTAATGAAGCTCAACAATATTTCCTCTTGCTCTTTCAGCTTAAAAATGTATTACAGCACAATGAAATACTTATATAGTAAACTTGGTAGAGACAAGCATACAGAGGTTGTTATAACAACCCATGTGCGCATACACCCAATACGAATATTCATTTCTAAAGTAGCAGTAGCACGTGCAGCTGCACACGACCGTGAGCACTCATTGCTTAACAATTTTGCTATTAATGTAATGAAAGTATTATTCTAACACATCATTCTTTTAATGGTATATTATTTTATTATCACTACTATGCATAAAGCCTAAATTGAATATGATTTCAGAGTCCTCATTAATGAAAATCGCTTCTGACCTTTGTGTAAGGTTTGTTTAAAAAATTATAACATAAACTCAGCTTTAGAAATACATTCCAATCATTTTAGCCCGATTAAAAAAAGAAGTAAGCCTATTTCTGATAGATTTTTTCATGAAGATAACTTGCCATTTGATATAGTTTATGTTTGGCTTAGTCAGGTGAATGAATTGATGAAGAAGGGACAGTGGTGTTTAAGCTCTCTTTTTAGAGATGTTAAAATGGTCTGAGAAACGGTTTCACTAATGTGATGCTTGGTGGGGCTGAGGAAAACTCAGAAGGCGGCCTTCGAAAATGTTTTTAGCCTGAAAAAACCTGTCTGATAATATTCCTAGATTTCAGAAGGCCCTATGAGTTGCATAGGGTCAACTTATAGATCAATTCAACAATGAGATGTGGAAAGCTTATGGAGAGGTGGTTATAAGAGTTCTAGGAGGAAAGATCAGAAGTTGGATTTCAAATGTTTTTATCCTGAAGAAACTTTGTTAAGAGAGTCTAAGGTTTTGCAAAATTTGAATAACTGCATTTAAAAAAAAAAAACGTTTACCTTAGTAGTTGTCTTTGGCCATTGAGAAGGAATTGAACTGTTCTTTGTGTGGCTTGAAGCTTTCCATTCCGTATACCTTACCTGTGAAGGCATTATTGTGTCCAAGCTAAGCAGTTTAGTTCTTGGGTCAACAGTTTGAGGATGGTATGTAGTCTTTTTACCTTTCTCTTTTCAACCAGAGTGACTGGATAGGAGTAGAGGAGAGAAGGTCTTCTACCTTTAGGGTAGGAAGGATAAAAAAACCTCTTTTCTTAGATTGGAAGGGAAATGTAAGAAATCAAATTGTCTGGTTTTTACTTTGAAAGGAGCGGTGGGTGCTTAATGAGAGACTCTTTGAAAAATGGATGGGTGAAAACCAAAAGAAGTCTAAGAATGGGCAAGTAGAGTAACAGAACGTAGTGAAGTAGAATGGATACTGCATTATCTCTGTTGACTTTCTGGTTCAGAGCCTCTCTGCTCCAACTTGCATGCTGTAACGAGCTTCAGGACGTCACCACTAACAAGTCAACAATTTGATTTTTATAAATGATTCAAATTTGAATTTTCCATAGAAAGGCTCATTACTTCTGTTGATTTCTTGTACAAATAATGCTTCGTTCTGAAGTTTCTATTGTTCCCTAATTGTTCTGCAGGATGCTGAAGGTGTTCTTCTTGCCAATATTGGTAGCTATATGGGAGGAGTTGATCTGTGGCAAAACGAAGATGAAAATTATGACAACTTTGATCCACAATCGATGCATGACAAGGTCCTGGAAGTTGTTAGCATCAGCGGAACATGGCATCTTGGAAAGCTTCAGGTAATCATTCTAAAGTTCTCCAGTGTGACACTTTTTCTTAGCCAGCTTTTGTCAAGATTAATGCTTGGACGGCTTTCTTGTTTCCTCTTAAAGCAGCTTTTTAGTACAACAATTAAAAATTTTGTACTAAAAAACTGCGTTAAGAAGTAGTAAGAAAGCCGTCCCACACTAAACCTTATACTCACGATTTCTTATGATACTTGATTTGTGGATTGGATGATTTGGCTTGAGATTATTATTCTCTTCCATTTAAGGTTGGACTTTCTCGAGCAAGAAGGCTGGCTCAAGGACAATCTATCAAGATTCATGTCTTTGCTCCCCTTCCAGTTCAAGTAGACGGTGAACCTTGGGTTCAGCAACCTTGCACGCTAAGCATATCACATCATGGTCAGGTGAGCCTTAGTTTTTGCAAGCCTTTCATATCATACCGGTATAATGCACATGTAGAAATCATATTAGCTCATGTATGGAAAATACACACTTAAACTCCAAAATATAGTTCATATTAACAACTTGTGATATCTATTTCCTGCTAGTTTTATTTCTATGTTGTGGAGGAATCTCGAGTTTGAATCCTGTAGCAACTTGTGATATCTATTTCCATTGTGGTTATTGCAGAGACTTGCAATCTATATCGTGATTTCGTTTCTTGTAATGTCTTGGGTGTTTATCCTGATGACTGGCAGTTGCCGACTATGCTGAGAACTAGGAGTTGCTTATTTTGCTATGCAAATGAACTGAACATTGACTTTGAACTGCGATTCAACTTTTGAGAATTTGACTTTTATTTTGATGATATTCAGTAGAATGAACTGAAATCTGATGCATGTTCAGAAATTTTCGATCTTAGTAAAACATTTTCAGTTTTCTTTCAATCTTATGTTCTTTGCAGTTCTAATTCCTTAAAGTGCATTCATTGTAGGAGTGGTTGACTATCAATTTTTTGTGTTAGTCATCTTCGTCTATATAATTTGATTTAGATTTTATGGATTTTAGTCAAATTAGTTGCAATCAATTTTTTGATTGTGTTGTTAATTTCACAATTTTTAAAATATTCATGTTATGATTATTCGACAAAATTTATGTTGACTGTCGACTACTAATGCAACCACTCTACTTTTCTCATCTAGGATTTGGGACCTAGCAACGGCAGTGTTAAGAAAGATAAACGTTGACCTAAAAAAACTTGGTTATAAAATATTAGAAATGATTTTTCTTTATTATATTGAAATGAGAATTTGACATTTAACATGACACAATAGAGAAAAAGGATTCATGTAGCTGACCCCACGTAGTGGGACAAATATTTGATGTTGATGTTGTTGTTGTTAATTTCAATCCACTATGCGTTTTCATTGCCTGAAATTTTCTTCTGAATTTCTTCGCTCCAATTACCATGACTTTACTATTAGACTTGATTTTAACATCTCATAGATTTCTGATGACTACATTCTGCAAGGCTTAATAATTGTCTTGTTTCATTTGCATTAGGCATTCATGTTAAAGAGAGCAGCTGAGGAGCCTCTTGGTCATGCTGCAGCTATAATCACTGATGTACTTGAAAATGCAGAAACCAATCATGTCATTACTGCTTCACAGAAGAGAGCCCTTCTTCAAGAAATGGCACTCAGGCTTTCATAGTACCCATTTTCTTCTATACAAATTGAGCTTTTTTTTAATCTGTTTTACTTCCAGTTTCAGGTCATGTATCTGTTTTTGACCACATCATGTAAATATTTTGATCACATTTCAGTCTACTCTATCAGATTTTTTTGTGTCCATTTTTTTGTGAGCAGAGAATGATTGGCTTTTTACTGCTGATAGCATGATGAATTTTGTTTCAGTTTCTCACTTTTTTTCATTTTATTTTTGGTTGGTTTGATGAATTTGGAAAGCAGATTAGAGAAATTAATTCATTTATATAGGCGTTGTTTGGGATAGCTTTATTAAGCAATTTTTTAATAAAAAATTTTAACTTCTAAAATTTTTTTTATAAAAAATTGCTTTATAAATCAATAAATTAAAAAATCGTCTCAAATGAAGCTACAATTTGATAGTTTTTTTTTCATCAGATTTGAACTGGAATATCTTCATTTAAACAGCCTGGTTTGGGAAATTAGCTGTTTTTGTTGATTTGACTAAGGTTTTGTTTGGGACAACTTTCTTATTATTTTCTAAAGTAATTTTTTAGTACAAAAATTTCTAACTAAAGAAAATTTTGTGCTGAAAAATTATTTTAGAAAGCAGCAAGAAAGTTGTCTCAAACAAAGCTTAAGAAGTTTAATTTATGGCATTTCTTGGGGAAAATTGAGCATAAAAGCAACAAGTGGATCTCTTATTTCTCTCTCTCTCTCTCTCTCTCTATGCATCCTTTCTCAATAAATTATATATATATAATTGAGTTAATCTAACTCGTGAGTTGGCTTGAACTTGACTTAATAAATGACTCATGAGTTGAAATTAACGAGTTCATGTCAAGCTTGAGTAAGCCTCGACTTATTAGCTTGCAAGTTTGCTCTTTTAAAAATATTGATAATAAAAGTATTTCAAATATATAAAATTATAATCCCTTTAGTATAAAATTTTTAACAAATTTTCATTGTATTTTTCTTTCTTATTTCAAGTGATTTTTTTTTAGTTCTCAATCAATTTTTTTTAAAAAAATTTTTTGCTACCATGTTATTAATAACTATCAAACAAGTGATTTTCTTTCTTATATTTTTATTTTGGTCAAATACATTTATAAGATATATAAGGTGTGGTGCTTTAGTTTATGTTTACAACAAAAAATAATTTTAATTGGTTAGATGTTTATTACAATAATTGAGAAGATAAAATAATAGAGGAAATTTTTACAAGAAAGCTGTTAGAATTACTAAACTAAATATTTGGTATATAATAGCATTTATAATGGATGTGGTATTATATATCCTATCTAACTATATATATATATATAATAATAATAATAATAATAATAATAAACAACCAAACCTTACTCGCGACTAACAACTAGCCACACTCTGGTTTCACCAGGATGCTGCTTGCTCCTGCATCAATGCCCATGCTTCAGCCATGTCTTGGTAGTACCTCCCACCCGAATGATCTACCTACCTCACCCGCAACCAGTAAATCATGCTATCCTGACCTTCTCTTCGGAAAGAGCTTACTTTTGATGGCATGAGCTTGTGAAGTCCCACAGCTCTATTCTCTTTTCTTTCAGAAGGGAATTGGCTGCCTTCATTCATTCCTATCCCATCCTTAGGTCAATCAGCGTAATCCCGAACAGCCCCTTATTTCACAGCGGATCTAGCGCCTTATGTTTGGCCTTCAAAGAGATGATTCAATAGCAGTAGCACCAGTCATGAACCCAAGAGCTCCAACTCGTACTCATAGTTAAGCAGCGGCAAGACTAACAGGTGCGACCGATATTGGTTGAATCACAGACCAGACAGACAAGCATTGGCCCAGAAAGCCACCAACCATCGAAGCGTTAAAATAATAATAAATTAATATTAGTGATATCTCTGATATAATTTAAAATTTTGAGTGCTATGTAAATAAATATAAAAAATTAGGTATTAGATATGTAAATAAATAAAAGTTTTTTAATATGTATGTAAATTTTCCCATCCTAACAATCTATTACTTAAAGGGGAAAAATGTAAATTACCATAAAATATTGTGATGAGAATTAGTGTTCTAATAATTAATATATTAAAACACCTTAACCACTTTCCTCTATATAGAAAAATTGAATATAAGTAATTAATAGAAATAAACAACATAAATGTCCCTGCCTAATTGCATATTTGAAAATAATTCAAAAAAAATTACGTCACCTGAATTCCACACCCAGGTTCACCCGCTTCTCAAAATCCACGTGGCATGCTATTTTAAGTGGCTTCGAACGCCAACGGTCTCTTCTCCATTCAAATAATGCGAGCAGCTTACTCCTATCGTTGCACTGATTCGACCGTTAGAAGTCCCAGAACGCTCGCTCTCCTCTTTCTTGATTCATTCCGAATTCGAAAATCCTAGAAAAGAAATCTCAATCAAATCCCTAATTCTCCATCACGGCCTCTGCAGATCCACTCTACCGATGTCGACTCCGATGAGAACCCCTCGCCATTCTCGTTCCAAATCATCAGATTCCTGTAAGTTTGCCGAGAACTTGCAACCCAATATCCCCTTCTCCACGCCGTCGAAGAAAAGTACCCCGTCAAAGAAATCGGCCAGCAGGTCGGCGACAAAACCTAGAAATACCGCACTTTTGTCTCCTCCGCCACCTCTGCCGCAGCGTGAGAGGAAGTTCGTCATCGCTAAAAAGAGCAATTCTACAAAGCAGGCGAACGATGTCGACGCGAAGAAGCGACTGGAAGCCGCTTATGAGAAGCTACGTGCTTCCCAAGAAGAGTTCTTTAAAAAGGACATAGTTCCTGTGCTCAGGGTCGAAGAGTCCAGGAATGAACAGAAGAAAGAGGAGGAGTTTAAGAAAAGTGAGATATTGGAGAGGAAGACGAAGAGTATGGTGATGGCGGAGGCGATGAGTAGCATTCCTGAGCCAGGTGCAGGGAGGGTGAAGCATCTTGTGAAGGCTTTTGAGACTCTTCTTACGATTTCGGATGGGGAGGAAAGTGGAAAGAATACATTGATGGATTGGCTGTTGCCTAAGCTGCCTCGAAAGGTTGAGCAGAGTAACGGGGGGCCGTCTTCACCTAGTTTTGATTCCGTTGAGTTTTTCACTGCTAGAGGACATGAAAGAGAAACGAGGCTCTGCTCTTCTTTGGATGGCCTTGATGGAAGGTAGTGATTGCTCTTGCTTTGTTAATCTGAAAATTTAGTTTTTTTTTTAATTACTTTTTCCCATATCAAATTTCTTCATTATAGATTGAGTTTGGCCAGTAGAACATCTGGAGGAGGCCAGAGGAGTAGACGCCATGTAAGAACCTTCTCCAAGTTTAGTAATTTCTATGTTGTGGTCTAATGACCATTTCTTGATTTTTGTTTCTCATGAAATAAATAATTTTTGTTTTTTGGAGTTATTAGGAATATCGGTGGATTGTCTTCTGCTTTCTTTAACTTTGGTTATTCTTTTATTTATTTATTTATTTTTTTTGTGATCTTTTTAGAGCCTCGACTCCTCAAGGAAGGGCTGGAACAAGAAGCTTAAGGTGACAAACCAGCAGCCTTTCAAGTTGAGGACTGAGGTATTCCATCAATTATGAGTAGTTTTTTATATTATTTCTTTCAGTGAAAATTATGCAGGAGCTATACCAAGTTAATCATTTTAGTGTGGATGAATGAACTGATATCAAATTCATGTAGCCTTTTAGATTAAGGATTGTTTTTTAAAAGTAGTTAAAAGCCCTAGATGAATAGCGCCCCATGACAGTTTTTAATGCATTATATTAGTATAGCTAACTGTTCTACTGTTCTGAACTTTTGGATGAGCAGCATTCAGCTTATTTTATAGCTAACAGAGATTCTTTCGGGTGTCATCTCTTAGGAAATCATTAAAAAGTTTCAGTAGCAATCATACATTCATTGAATCACTAAGTCATTTAAAAATATTGTACGTCCACATACCATATAGGTAACTCACTGGCACCCAAACAGGTCCACCCTAGTGGAGCTCGCAGCATATGAGCTCTTGAAAGGATCACACAGAGATACCTATATGGGCATATAAGGAACATGGCACATGAGAACATGTGTCGCGGTCTCAGTTTTATGGCAGCTAGTTGGGGAAGTGGCGATAAGTTCACAAGTAGGATCATACTTCACCTGCTTCCATGTATTCTTGGCCTCTACGAGCTTGGCCATCTTCACTGCAGATGAGGCTCCTAAAGAGGTCTTTGTTTGTTGGTCAGTTGGGTCCTATACCACTAGAGTCATCCTTATGTATAAAGTAAAGGATCAAGAAGAGGTAATTCTTTATCCATGAAGCTAAGGGGAACCTCGTTATGGCATTCCCATGTTCTAGTATACAAGACAAACTCCTTAGTTAGAGCTAACATCTCGAACTCGATGGGTGACCTATGAACTTGCTCGTGGTCAAGTGGATCCTAATGTTGATTGAGATCAGCGACATGCGGCCCCCAGACATAAATTTCTCAAAAATAGAAAGTAATCCTTCTTACCTCCATCGATCACTTTAAGCTAATAATGAGTGATTAAATTATAAGCATTATTGCTCAAAAGGATCATACAACATTAGCTTGTAAGATTGTTATAAACAAGCATCAAATAAAAGTATCCACAAAATGTGGATATGTGATGATATGATAAAGCTATGCAATGTGTGAGATGATTCTACTAGATCATACAATTATAAATATTTTAGTCCTCACAATATAACAATGTAATATATTGCGTTCACGTTAGAAGTGTGAGTATAAGAATTATGGGTGATAAAAGTGATTCACCTATGCTATGTTTTAACACCTACACTTGCATGCTTTACATTAACATCTTCTCTAAGTTTGGTGAGGAGGGATCCTTTTGTAATTCTTGTCTACTACTTGTCAATATTATTTCAATTGGGTTAGGCCTCATAATTTTTTTCTATTTGAGATTTTTAATGCAAAAATTTCTATGACCCCTATTTTATTTTACTTATTTGATCATGTGTCCATGTGAGTTTTTGTTAATAATTCGGATTATGAAATATATTTTTGTTTTGATTCAATTTTTAATATGCAACAAGGCCTGACACCAAAAAGATTATGAAATATCGCCTTCATATATTTTTACACATACAAGGAGATGAATGAGTGGTCAATATGACCATTTTAGCTTGTTCTCTTTTTTTTTTTTTAATGTGCAAAAAACGATTGTTTGGAAATCTTTGCCACTAAGATATATTCTTTGAACAAATATTACATTTGTTACAGATAAGAGGGAGGGTTAAAGAGGAGAGATTTGTGAAGAAGGTGACTGAAATGTTGCTAGAGGAGGAGAAAAAACGTATACCAATTGCACAAGGTGTTCCATTGACAATTGATGAGCCTGAGGTGACTCCTTTCTCTTACTTTGCTTAGTAGGGATTCCAACTCATTAAACAAATGTTATGTTCTGAACCTTTTATTCCCTTAGGATGCTTCTGATTTCCTTAAATTTACTAATTTCTTGTTAGAATAATTCTTTCATAGTAACGACGATGAATTTTTTGACCTTTCTGCGATTTTGTATTTATTTTATCATCTTATTTGATTTTCTCAAAGCCTTATTAAAATACTGACAATAAAAACCATAACTTGATTGAAGAAGAATATTTTTCCTGAATTATACATTGTTTTAATATAATGACAACCTTCAAAGCATGATAGTCTTTCAAAATCTCCTGTGTTTATGCTACAAATTACATTAATATTCTACATTTTATTGCTTTCTACTCTTAAAAATAATTATATGGGAAACTACTGTGCAATATATATCGTTTGAATTTATTTTGTTTACTGCTTTCAATTTAAATCTTTTGACCGTTTCCTTTTTTTATTTAGTGCTTGATCAAACCCCCTGTAAAGGAGTGCACTGAACCACTTGACATTGTGCTTCATAGCGATGTTCGTGCGATTGAGCGTGCAGGATTCGATCAATATGTAAGTTGTTCTTGATCCTTAATAATGTCATCTGCATGAATATGTTTCTAATTTTCTTATAATTATTGCTAGGTTATGGAGAGGCTAGAGTTGGCTAAGCAGTTTAAGTTGGAAAGAGAAAGAAAACAAAAGGTACATGCTTTATTGCTTTCATTTACTATAAATGCAAGCTATATAAGGATTTATCTGACGTTCTTTCTGCAGATGGAAGAAGAAGAGGAAATAAGGAGGTTGAGGAGAGAACTTGTGCCCAGAGCTCAGCCCATGCCTTATTTTGACAGGCCATTCATCCCCAAAAAGTAAGCATGCAATCAACTAAAAACCTAAACAATTATGCTAGCTTATGAAGAGCAAGATGTGTATAATAAATGCAAATTTTCTGAGAATCCACTTGAAAGCAATAATTGTCATGATCCCATGACAGATATTATTTTCCAAGTGCTAATCCTCCCAAGGTTTACTAAGGTTTCTTTTGAGACGGCTTTCTTATTGCCTCTTAAAGCAGCTTTTCGGTACAAAAATTAAAATTTTTGTACTAGAAAGCTGCTTCAGTAAAAAGTGAGAAAGCCGTCCCAAACGAAGCTTAAGGTTTCATTTAGGACCGTTTTTTTTAATGCTTCTTAAAGCAGTTTTTAAGTATAAAAATTAAAATATCTATACTAGAAAGCTGCTTTAAGAAGCAGTACAAAAGCAGTCCCAAATGGAGCCTAAATCTAGATTTGGAGGATTTACTAAATTGTACATGTGTAAAACTTGAATATTATTTGGCATGATAACTGTTAAATCTTGAGGAATTGTTTCTCTGTTTATTTAAGGATTTAAGTCTTATGAGAAGGATTAAATCCTTAGAATCTACAAAATTTTATGAATGTGAGATTAAACAAATTCTATATTTAATCAATAACAGAGCTGAAACTTGATATTAACCTAATTCTTGCTTAAAACCTTCTAAATTTTACTTTCTCAGATGATGATTTGTTTAAACACAAGATTTAAACATTGGCTTTGTTTCCAGGGTTTCATTTACTGTATTTGTATTTTCTTAGAACTGAACCACTGTATATGACAACTTTTATCAATTCTATAAGAAGAAATATAGACTGAAGCCCGGTTTCTCATATCACATCTTGAGATGTTTATAAAGAAACCATTTTATAGGGATGAGCACAACTCAATGTAATATGCATTGACTCAAACTCGATCTCGGCTCATTCAAACTCATTATGAACCCGAGCTTGGATAAAAAACTTGAGCTTGATTAATAGCTCGACTTGATTAATCATTAATGGTATGACATAGGTAGATCAATGCATATATTTCTTGGCTAAAAGTAAACCAAGGATTTTAATATTTCTTTTTTTTTTTTACCTGGTATGATGAGTCAACTAGTCAAGTCTAATTGAGCGTGAACATGAGCTCATATATCACACAAGTTTTTAACCTGGCTCAATGAGTCAGCGAGTCGAGTCCGGTCGAGCTTGAACTTGAGCTCATATATCATACAAGCTTTAACCTATACAATCTCAATCTCGTTGCTCATTAAGCCGAACTTACAAGCCAATAAACAAGTCACTCAGATCAGTTAATGGGTTCATGTTTTAGGTCGGAAAAGCCGCGAACGATCCCGATGGAGCCAAAATTTCATGTCAGACCTGCGGAAGAATCATTGTCAGCATCAGGATGTTAAATTGACAATTGCAGTAAGCTTTTCATACTGAAGTTAAATTCAAAAGCAAGATATTCTCCTTCTGTTACTTACAGTGCACAAATCAGTTATTTCTTGTTAGGAGGATATCCAAGCATTCAATGATCAAAGAAAAGAAGCCATGTGAGCTGCTTTCTATAGAGCTCATGATCACAGATTTGAGTTCAGCTCATTCTGTTCTTCTTAAATGTTTCCACTATTTTTGAAATAATTAACCTGCATGAAAGTAAATTCTTTCATTCTAATTTTTGGATTTTGGATTGATTGGTGAGATGAGATCATGAGAGTATGGAGCTATTTTCCCTGTAAAGAAACCTTCAGACTCAAATCAGAATCCTGATTTTCATTAATGTTTGCAGTAAGCTTTTTATGTCTACTTTTTACAATGAATTCTTAGAAGCAGCAATTAAATAATAGAAGAGATTTTGGCCTGGATGTTTTATTTATTTATTTATTTTTCTTTATTTTTCTTTATTTATTTATTTTTTTGGCCTGGGATATTGTGACTCTGATGATGGGAAAATTATTGAATTTATTTTAAGATGAATATAATGTGCGAGTTGATTGATTGTTTGTTTATTATATTTATTGGGCTAAAATTTTAATTAAAGTTATTTATAAAATTAATTGTTAAATTATTATGAAAAAATAAAGTTTTTTTAAAATTATTGTTAGTATTAATTTTTTTTTTGAAAACGACATCATTCTAGCGGCCACAATGTAATTATTATTAAATTTTCTGAAAAGTCGAAAAAAATTATAGCTAGATCTGCAATCTGTTAGTTTTTCCTTGGTATGGATCTTGCCTAATCCGTTGGGTAATTATGGGTTAATTAACAGTGCAGAAATTAATAGTTCTGCTAATTACAATATATCGCCATCCCCCCAATTATTATTATGGAAAATTTCTTTTTTTTTTTTTTGTTAAGATAAATTTTCATCATAACATACTATAATATTTTGTTAAGATTGACTATTTTCTTATAAGAAAATTAGATCATTTAGATTGCAAAGATTGTAAAGTTATTCCGAGTGAAAATTTATGTACCCAACATTGATTGTTAGTTTTCGACTTTAAGATAAAAGGGCAGAAAACAAAAAATAAAGTAAAACGATATTCTAGGATTAGATGGGGGCTTTTAAAGAATATTAACAAAAATATTTTTGAAAGTAAGATTTTAGATTTTAAGATTTTATATGTGATGAGGATGCTAATGTTATATGAAAAAAAGTGGCTAATGATATTAAGAATATTGCAAAAGATGTACTTGGAGTATCAAAGGGAAAAACTCATAATAGTAAAAATAGTTGGTGGTGGAATCCAAATGTGCAAGAAAAGATTAAAAATAAAAATATTTGTTATAAAAATTAGTTTAATTTTAAAAATTCTAATAATTGGGAAAGATATAAAGAGGCTCATAAGAAATATAAGAAAGCAATTTGCGATGCAAAGACCTTAGCTTTTAGTGATTTATATAATAGATTAGATACTAAGGAGGGAGAAATATATATGTATAAGTTAGCCAAACAAAAAGATTGGAGTAGTAAGGATTTAGTTCAAGTGAAGTCTATTAAGGATGAAGATCAAAAAATATTTTTCTTAGAAGATGATATTCAATAAAGGTGGATGAGATGATTTGCTAAACTTTTTAATGAAAATTGTGAAAGTAAGATTGACTATAGTGACCTTAACACCCTAAATGAAATTAAAGATTTCTATTTTTATCGGCGTATTAGTAAAATCGAAGTTAGAGAGGCTTCAAAGAAAATGAAGGGTTGAAAAGCTGTTAGACCTGATAATATTCCAATAAAGGTGTGGAAATGCTTAGGAGATGAAGGATTTTTTTGGCTTACTAAACTTTTTAATACTATTTTGAATATTAAAAAGATGTCAGACGAGTGGAGAATAAGTGTGTTAATTCATATTTTTAAGAATAAAGGTAATGCACAAGATTGTGTGAATTATAGAGGAATTAAGTTAATGTGTTATGCTTTAAAATTATGGGAGCGAGTTATGGAGCATAGGTTCCAGTGTGATACTAATGTTTCTCAAAATCAATTTGGATTCATGCCGGGTAGGTCAACTATGGAAGTCATACATTTATTAAGAGGTTTGATGGAGAAATATAGAGAAAATAAAGAGGATCTACATATGATATTTATTGATTTAGAAAAAGCATATGATAAAGTTCCAAGATAAGTGCTATGGAGAGTTCTTGAAAATAAACGAGTTAATAATGCTTATATTCAAATCATTAAAAATATGTATGCATGAGCTATTACTTGTGTTCAAACACAAGGTGGTTTGACCAAGTATTTCCCTATTTCTGTTGGGTTACATCAAGGATCAGCCTTAAGCTCATATCTTTTTGCTTTAGTCATGGATGTTCTCACTAGACATTTGCAAGAGGATGTACCTTGGTGTATGCTTTTTGTTGATGATATTCTTCTTGTTTATAAGACTAGAGAGGGAGTTAAAAGTAAACTTGAATTATGGAGGTCAACATTAGAGACTAAAGGTTTTCGCTTGAGTAGATCTAAAATGGAATATATGGAGTATAATTTTAGTAGTAATAGACCTAGTGAGGGGATTGTGACTTTGGGCGATCAAGTCATTAATAAGAGTACACATTTTAGATATCTTGGATCTGTTGTTCAGAGTGATGGTGAAATAGATGGGGATATTATTAGCAAAATTCAAGTTGGATGGTTGAAGTGGAGGAATGCATCAAGCTTATTGTGTGATAGAAAAGTATCCCTTAAACTTAATGGGAAATTCTATAAGATGGTAGTGAGGCCTGCAATGCTTTATGGTGCTGAATGTTGGCCATTTAAAGAGAAGAATAATACTAAGTTAAGTGTGGCAGAGATGAGGATGCTCAGGTGGATGAGTGGCTTTACCCTTAGAGATAGGATACGAAATGAGAATATACATCAAAAGGTTGGAGTAGCTCCAGTAGAAGATAAGATTAGAGAGAGTCGCCTTAGATGGTTTGGTCACATAAAACGTCAGCCTTCCAATGACCCGGTTAGGAGAGTAGAGGTATTATATTTGACTTATGTTAAGAAAGTTACAGGCAGACTTAAAAATACTTGGTTATAAAATATTAGGAATGATCTTTCTTTATTAGATTTAAATGAGAATTTGATCTTTAATAGGACACAATGAAGAAAAAAGATTCATGTAGCGGACCCCACATAGTGGGATAAAGGCTTGATGTTGTTGTTGTTGTTGTTGTGAAGTTACTGTGAAATAATTAATTTAAAAATTATTGTGAATCTTATATATATATTCTTTTCTAAAAATAGAATAGCTACTTCCTAAACTATTATGTATTAACAACTTTAGTTGTTAAAAACAATTTTTCATCATACAAATTTTCAAAAAGCAAAAGAAAGCTGAGAAAAAGTTATCCCAAATATATTCAAAGATTAAAAAAACAATCATGATTACATTTTTTTCGTTTTTAATCAATTTGACATCTTATTCTAACAGCATGACTTAAATTTTACACCAAAATATATATTTTTCTCCTTTGTTAAAATATTTGCATGGAATATTATAAGTTTATAATATTTTACAGAGATTTATAAAGATATTTTAAATTTCAATTTTTTGTTATATCATAATGTAATAAGAATAAAGAAGTCAATAAGATAAAAAACATTATATTTATATGACTTTAGCAACATGATATTATGCAATTCATCAAATTGTAATAATGAAACATTCACACAAATCAGATAAATATTCAGTTTTACATTTATAAGATTTTATTTCCTACTAAATTCTTACAACCTTCACTACTATTTGCTGTAAGCATTGAAGAAATTCCTGAAGCAATAGAACTATGAATGTGTATTTTACATCTGCAACCTCAGATCAGGCGGAGCTTAACAGATTTTTGAACCATTGAACAGAATTCTTTGGATATCTCTTGAGGTTGTCGTTATAATCCACAAAATACAATCCAAATCTGGCAGTGTAGCCTGCTGCCCATTCCCAATTATCCAGAAGAGACCAAACAAAATATCCACGAACATCGCAACCATCATCCCTGCAATAGAATGCTTGAAATCCATGAATAAGGACTTGGGATTTTCTTTTTTCAAGATGATTTGAAGTATCATATGTGAAGTTCTGGAGCTTAAATTTATACCTTAAGCAGAAAAAGCATCATGTAGACTACGGTTTCGTTTGGGATGGCTTTCTTATTCCTTCTAAAAGCAACTTTTTAGTTCAAAATTTTTATTTTTTTATTTGAAAGCTGCTTTAAGAAGTAGCAAAAAAGCTGTCCCAAACAAAGCCTACGTTGAGGGTCATTTCTTAATCCAAATTTGCTAGTCATTTCATTAAAAATGTTTTATGGGCTTTTTTTTATTTTGAATATTGAACTAGAGTATAAAATGTCAGCAAAGCATGTATAAAATTCATGAGTTGTTCTACATTGATCTTCTTTTTTACGTTCTATTCTTTTTTGCTTGCTATGTTTTAGATGTTTAATAAGTAAATCTCACAAAGAAGTAAATAAAGATACAAAAGTTGAGAGAACTACTTAATAGCAGCAGACAAGTTTCCAAGATATTCACTATGATATCTGATTCTCTTCTCGTCTTTCAGGGCATTTTTTATGGAGATGAATGGATTGTTTGAATCATCCATCCCTGAAAAAGTTGTAGGATTTCAGTAATAATAGAATTAAAATGTTAATACATGAAATAATCATATTATAACAGCATATGGAAGACATTTGCTCACCATTCTCTGTAATGATAACTGGGGGATTTCCATACTTATCTTTGATGTAGTTCATAAGACTTCTCAAACCTCTAGGAACAATGTAAAGCCATATGGAAGAGGACTGTAAGGTAAAACAGTAAGAATACTAGTTATGAAAGCCCATAATGTTATGTTGTGTAGTTTAATAAATAACTTAAAAAAAAAAAAAAATCTAATGTGGACTTGATCTTCGATCATTAGAGGTGTTTTGCATAGATCCAGTTTTTTTATTAGGAAGGAGAGTTTCATCATTAGGATTAATTATTCTGTGCGGATGCAGAATGCCGTCCAGAGATCAACCAGAATGTGTCATGTCACCCCTTGCTTGGTACCGCAGCTCGGCACTGTTGACGCGCATTCTGATTGGTCTCCGAACGGCGTTCTGCATCCGGTCTTCGCACAGAATAATTTCTCCATTATTAGATAATGTTTATTTAAGAGATTAGGATCGTAAAACTCCACAATCATTATCACAGTGAAATTTGCAACATCAGCAACAAGATATACCCATCAATTATGTGAAACTAGATAAAAGACTTAGTGCAATGGTGCATTTACCTTAATTTTATTTCATCAAACATGCAATAATACATACATGCACACACCAAATAAATTTATGACCAAGCCCACCACCCATCTCATCATCATCATCAGCCTTGTCTCAACCTATTTTCTGAGTGCAGCTTGATATAATAAACCTACTCTATGCAAATACACTTATGACCATACGCACCCAAATTCAATCAAATGAACAGTATAAGAAAATTACCCTGTCTCCGATGGGATGTAGTCCCTTGAAGGCTGCAGATGATTAAAATTTATCCAAGTTAGTAATAAGCAAGGAAAAACAGATAAACATATACATTCAATAACTGCTCGTGAAAAGATCTAAATGCTCATTTTTGTTAAAATTAGTATAAATATGTACTTCACATAGAAAATATTTTGAAACTTGGAAGGCTTGGACTGCAAACTTACGCAAATTAATGGTTCCAGAATCTGCCAGAGCATCGTTGAATACAACTCCAATCAAATTAGTTGAATTTTCCATGGCATAATATGTAGTGTAGTGATTTATACCAACAAAATCCAAGGAACCCTTAACCAGTGCAACATCTTTGGCCGAAAATGTAGGCAATCTATTTCCAACTCTTTCTCTCATTGAGCTTGGATATTCCCCAAAAAATATGGGATCCATGAACCTGTCTTAATAGCAAAATAATTTTAGTCGGAAAAACACGGCAAATTGTAATTTAGGCTTTATTTGGGACGGCTTTTTACTGCTTCTTAAAGTAGCATTTTAATACAAAATTTTTAATTTTTCTACTAGAAAGCTACTTTAAGAAGCAGTAAAAAAACCGTCTCAAACGAAGCCTTAGACAGCGTATTTGATGTGGTTAGATAACATAGATAATTCTTTTATTTCACAGAATATTATCTTCATTTCATTTGCATGAATCTTCCATTTACTAATTTTCGTATGGAAAATGTTCTATAACTCAATAGCTGCATACTCATGAATAAGGTCCCTGCAAAGACAAGTATATCATTCTACTAGTAATTCATTAATATCTCCTGACAAACTTGAAATATGGTAAAGGAGTTTGAGAACCAATTCTGATTAACCAGCTTCTATCATTAACATTCTGAATTATGTTCTACATAAAATTCAGTGAAAAATCAGTTTTTTTATTATTCTATGTTCGTATATGTTATATAAAGATCATGATTAAGAAATGCAGAAAGAAGCAATATAGTTTTACCATCCAAAATGAAAATCCAGAGCTCTTTGAGTAGCAGCAATGTCTTTAGAAGCATTTGAAATGGGTTCGTACCACATAACGTCGAATGACATCCCAATAGAACCCTTCTGTACTGCCTATAAACATGAACCACAAAATAAAGATATTCATGAGTACCCCTTCTCTCTCTATCTCTCTCTAGGCCTACTTGAACAGTAAATGCATGTTATACATCCTAAATATGCATATAATATCTACATCCAAATCCATACATTAATGCACATATTCAGAAAGAGAGAAGCATGTTCATTCATGTTCATGCACATAAAAATATGCATAAATACAATATAATTTACGTTTATGGATGTGTTAAGCCCATACATGTATGTTCATGTTTAAGCATATAAATACGTTGGTGCATTACATAACTTTCATGAGAAAAAACGTGTAGAATTACCTTATATTTTCTCTTATATATGTTGACAGCAGTAGCATGCGATAGGAGGATATTGTGGGCAACAATATAAGGTTCAGTCCTTGAATTCCCTCCTCTACAAAGGAGGTGAAGGAGAATGGAGCAGTGTCCAGGGGCTTGGAGTCCAACATCATAGCCTTGGATTGCCAAAGTGTGAGGTTCATTGAAGGTTATCCAGTCCTTAACCCTGTCTCCGAATGCATTGAAGCATGTATCGGCATAAGTTGCAAAATCATTTCTGTAGTAGATCACAAAAATTTGGCCTCCTTAGTTGAATTTCTTGAGTGATGGAACGAAACAAAGAACAGAAACAACTCCTACTGACTAACTCTACTCAATTGTAAGGAAGAACTTCTATCATCTCTTTGGAATCAATTAAGAAGAATAAGATTTAGGCTTCGTTTGGGACGGCTTTTTTACTGCTTCTTGAAGCAGCTTTCTAGTACAAAAAATTTAATTTTTATACTAAAAAACTACTTCAAGAAGCAGGAAAAAAGCTGTCCCAAATGAAGACTTAGTCTTTAGTATTTAACTTTGGTTAGCCAGAGAAAAATTCATGGAAGAAGTATAACACTACTTATGAGAATTATTTATTTCATGGAGATTGCATTATCTTGTCGGAAATCCTATCAGGGTAAGGGAGGATATAAAACTATATCTAGTTATAGTTGAAAAGTTTCTACCAAATGAATTTTCAGAAAGTATGGCCATCAGATTGCCGATCACTTCATGGAAGAACATATTACCATATCTGCAACTGAAGGCAAACACAAATAAAAGTCAAGAAACAATATAATTACATTATTTGGGTACTAAGCCATCCTCTGTATCTGTCTTCCAAGGCTTGAGGAAGGTCCCAGTGGAAAAGTGTAACATATGGTTTGATTCCTGCAAATGTAATGCATATTGTAAGATAGCTATCCATGAAAACTTAGTTCTCAAAATTATAACATATTGTTCGTTCCATTAAATAATGACTTTGCATTTTGTTTTCCTACTTACCTTTCGCTAGCAGCGCATCTATCAATTTGTTGTAATGGTCAATCCCTGCTTGATTAACTTGGCCAGTTCCATCTGCATAGCACTCAAGATTGTTATGAAGTAATGTGGAGGTTCTTTTTTTCTGAAAGTTGCATTTAAAATGCAAAAATAGGGAGGTTCTTTAAGCTAACATTATTGCACTATATCGGTTTTAAGTTCCTTTTTTTTTGTCTTTTTAGTTAGGATAAGGCTAATGATAATAATGATATTGACATGTGACCACTAAACCATAACTAAGAAGGGTATCAAAGTTCTCTTAATTTTTCATGTCACAGTTCTCTATTTTCATACTAAACAATATATTCCAGCACACTATTTCTATACAATACCTTCAAGCTTCATGAGCCAAAGCTTATGACCAGTGGTGGAACCGTGGAACTAGGGGAAATTAAGGGTCACTTTAAATTCTACTTCTACCATTGTTTAGAATCTTTGAACTTAAGGTCGATCTATGATGATTATAGTTTCCTATAAAATTAGTTGTGAAACTACTGTGAGGAAAGTAGAGTTTAAGAGTTATTGTAGGTATTATATTTTTTTTCCCTTAAAAAATATTTTAGATAATAGCTTCTAACAATTACCAAGCTCTAGCAGATCTAGTTATGAAAAGCTCTTTATCAACAATATAAATTTTTTAGATGGTACATGGAAATGACAAGGAACATTCTTGGAAAAGTAAACATATTGAATCAAAGAAATGTTACTTGGAAAAATACGGGACCAAGCAATTGAAAACCTATAAGCATCCATTCCAATATCAGCTATGAGCTGCACATCTTCCTGCAACAAATATTTTGCATAGTTAAAACATTCTGCATTTTTTCTCCTTAATAAAACAGACTAATATAAAGCTTGACCTCGTATCTGTGATACTGATCAACAGCAACATCAGCATTGCTGAAATCTAGCACCTTACCTGCATATTAGAATAAAAGCATTTATCTTTTATCCTACCATTCAAATTACAATCAAGAAAAAAATATAAAAGATATAGCTCAATTTATTGTTTACCAAAGGAATGGGCAAACTTATCCCAAACTGTTGGTCCTCTTCCATCCTCATTAACAGCTCCCTCATACTGCAAAAAGGAAAATATAATGAGAAGTTTGAAACTAGAAGGATTTCATTGGCTCTTTTGAGAGATAACGAGCATAGTTGAGAATCAAGTCATATGTACTTCAATCATTGAGCGTAGATAAAAGAGAAAAAATATCAACGCACAAAATATATTAAAAATTTTATTCAAGTTCACTCAATTGATAACTATATCATATTGTCATTACTACAAAATTCACTATGATTTAGATTGTGGAGTTTTGCAGCCCAGAGACACCACTTAAAGACAATACCACCACTACACTATAAAGAAAAAATTGGAATTGAAAAAAAAAATAGTGAAATCCCGAAAACCAAAATTGGATAAGACTTGATTTTCGGGATTTCACTAAATCATTGGTTGGATAAGATTTGATATTAGGAAGTCTAATTTTTATAAGTCTTAGTCCAATTTCAGTGACTAAGACTATGTAAGCATTTATATTACGTAGGAAGTCTAATTTTTATGAATTATCATGGATAAGATTTGATTTTTATTTTAAATATTGGTGATAGCAAAACTCAAGATTAATTCATACCTAAATTTTAAAATTCATGACTATCAACTCGAGATTTATTCACGCTTGTTTTTTATAAATGGACGCTATCTAACTCAAATTATATTCACTTTTTTACTTTCAATCTATCAACTCATGATGCAACTATAAAAGGGAGGAGAGATCTATGATTTAATACATCCCATAACAAGAAGCAATAAAGAGAGAATAGGAAGAGAAAGAGAGAGTAAAGGGGTGTCATCGAGGGTAGTTCTTCAATTTCTTCAACAAGGCATATATAAGTGTTGTTATTCTCACTTCTAGCACTAACATAAGCTCTTCGTAATTCAGAAAATATATATCATATGGACTTCTATAATAAAAGGGAATGAGAGTAACTAGAGTAATAATGACATCTCTTTTTTCACATCTAGCCATCATCTTCTCAGTAGATGACTACATTTTCTCTTAGCTAACAAAGTTGTATTTTTTTTCATATCTTCAACTTTGTATGAAGTATAATCCTTTATGTATCTTTATAAAGTTTAATATATTATTCAAACTCTTTGCGGTTATGGATGTAAGCCTGAACACATAAATTTTGGTATTCTCTTTTTGTAGTGCTTATATTTTGTGGTTTATCATACCTGCTCCAAGGTTGAGGTGCTCTCTTTCCTAATAGTTTCTTCTTAGGATAACAAATTAAGCTTCATAACTTAGCAATGTATGAGAGATCCTTATCAGTTCAAAAAATTCACATTACATCTAAGATTCAAAAACACTACTACTTTGCAAGCAAAGAAAAATAGAAAATCAGCTCAAGATATTTTTCTCAAAGTTCAAGATTGTCCATGATTCTTATAGTATACGTTTTTACTGCTTTACAAGATAATAAGAAGACCGTTATGAACAATTACTTCGAAAATATAATATTGTTTATGTTACAAATTATCAAGAATTGTTTGTCTTCAACTTGAACTAAATTTTGAGGAGGATATCCAAAGCTTTTTTTTTCTTTTTTTTCAAAGTAAACCTCACATGCTTCCAAAGTTCACTCACGTGGCTGGTTCCAGATTCCAGAGTTGCACAAAATCCATAATTTCGCTTTTACGAAAAGCTCATCAAGTAAAGCAATTTTCCTTTCTCACATGGCAGAACAAAATTGACCTTCCTCCATTGTTCATTCCCCTCAACATCCATTGACACCAAAATCAAAATGAACAAAACCTTCTTCAGACTCAAAAACAAACAAAAAATTCAAAACTTCTCAAAACCTTTCACAAAATTTCAAAGTGGAAAAAGCCTGCCTCTTTGCGCATTTCCGATTGAACTCAAGAACAAAAGAATAAAACAACAGAAGTCCAAATTTATAAGCTTTCAAGAACACCTGATATGCAGAAGAAGCCGTTCCAAAAACAAACCCATTTGGGAAGCTCCCCCTGCTCAATCCATTGCTCACCGAGAGGCATTCCTGAATCCCACAAAGCACAAAAAGAATGACCAAAATGCCATCTTTGAACGCCATTAGAGCTCGAAAGAAAGCTCCAGAGGTGAATAAAGAAGCCAAGGAAAACTGCAAACTTTTTTTACTTCGAAATAAATTCAAGGTAGCGATTCTAAATAGAAGTGCGGCCGCTAGTTGCCACCTCAAGAAACCGAATTTCTTTGTGGGGCTAGAATGAGACTGCTATGAAGAAAGAGCGTGTGAAAGCTGAAAGGCTGTAAAACCATTCACACCTCTCCTTGTAGCTAATAAAAGAGGCAGCAGCGGCTTCAGCTTTCTGTCTTCGTTTAGAGAAGGAAAGCTGTTAAATATTCAGATTTGCGTTCTGGTATTTATTTAGTGAAGCGGCTTTGCTTTTATTGAAAAGGTTGTTAGATGTAAGTCTCAGATACAGACATTCAACTAATATTAGCCACATAAATGTGTACACAATTATAAGTATATAAAGCTTCCGCTTTGAAGGGCTGAACTTTTTGGTAGTATTATGAGAAAAATTATTTGTTATGGGCAATAATTATTTAAAAAATAATAATTGCTACTATATATTAACAGATATGACTATAAAAATATTATTTTTCTATTAAAAAATAATCAAGTTCTTAAATGCAAATCAATGAGAATAAATGCTCAAAATAGAGTCCAACTAAATATGTGCATGCATCTATATGCTCTTATTAGTATTTCAATGCTCATTCTCTCTCTTACAGTACAAAAAATTTATATCATATTAGGATTCGTTTGGCACAGTTTTTTTATTGCTTTTGAAAACTACTTTTCAGTGCTGAAATTCAACGAAAACAGTGAAAAGCAATGGCCAAACTATCCCAAGAGAAGCCGTAGGTTTCATTTAGGACAGCTTTCTTAAAAGCTGTTTTTTAGTAAAAAAAAATTTAATTTTTGATTAATAAATTGATGATATTGAAAAAATATATTCCATAGTCAAATGCTTAAAAGACTTATCAATGACAAGCTGCGTATGCTGAAAAAAGGGCACAAAATGTGCACCAAATCATTTGAAATATTGCCTTCTGTTGCATTCCCAGTACATGAGAGAAAGAAATTTTCTTGCTAATTACACCCAATTTGACACGTTTATTTTGTTTGATTTTTTTTTTGGACCTTGTGTGGCTTTACTAATTTAAAATGAAAATTTGAAGTTATGCATTTTCTTGTGTATTGGCTGTTTGGAATAGCTTTCTCACAACTTTTACTTCAAATCACAATTACAATTTTATTTTGCTATTATTTTCTTGTTGTTTATTAAAAAAAATTCTGATCGGAAGCTACTTTTTATAGGCAGAGTTGTTCATGATTTTTTATTTTTTTAAAATATATTTATCATATTCATAATGGTTTTAAAAAGGTTATATTTCTCATAATAACTACACAACTTTATAAAATATTATATTCATTCCAAACAAACTCATAGTTAAATAACTAAAAAATTTGCAAAAAATTCAGAATTATATTAAATTAATAATTTTAATATGATATTCGATTTAAATGATGTTATAAGAATTTGATTGTTAATTTATCGATGCAAGATTTTAATATGAGCGTTATAAGTCTTAAAAAAAATTATATTGATTATTAGAAAAGTCATATTTTTATGATTAATTAAAATAAAAGGAGCATATATATTTTTACTCCATATTATTTTTATTATCCATATAATTGAAAATTAATATGAATTGAATATAAATAATATTTATTTTTTATTTGGGAGGATATAGTATTTATACTTCGTACTATTAAGGCTGTTGCACGAAATAAGCTATTAAGAGTTGTATGCACCAATTTTCATTAAGATTCGTGCACCTAAATAATCAGCATTCATTGCGCTCGCTTTTTTAGTTTGCGGCAGTTACGCTGCCCGGCCCACAAACGTGGCCACCTGGTTCAGATTGAGACAGAAATCCTATACAATGCTAGTGCTTTACCATAGAATACTTAGAGCTTTGTAGCCTTTGGATCTGCTTTGCCGGTATGAACTGATTGTCGTGATCATCTAATAATAAAGGCTTGGCTCTTAACGTAGATCGAAGGAGAGGTTATTAAGCGAGCCGTCCGATTTTGTTATTGTAAATAATAAAAATGCAAGAATGAACAATGAAAACGTTGTGATGAATATTAATTGTGCTTCTACTGTTTACAGTCACAAAATTGAACGAGTTTGTATGTTCGAACATCTCGCATAATAATCTCTCAGATTGAAGAGGTTTAAAGTGATTCTTTAGCTCTCTAGCTTTCTCGATTGTGCGGAGCCATATATATTCCTTAGTGGGAGCATAAATTAGATTTTTAAAATATTTTATTAATTTTTTTCGTCATTAAATATTTTATGATTTTCATAGCAAAAAAACGCCTCAATTCAGCTATCGTCCAACATTAAAGTCGTAACGTTGTTAACAACTAATTTTCATTTCATTATTTCCCTCTCTAACTAAAAAATAAAGAGAAGGTACTCAAAATAAAAAAGTGAGAGAGGGTTACTTGCAATCAAGACGCTCATCCTTAAAGATGTTTTAAGAAATAGGAAGAAAACCGCTCCAAACAAAGTCTAAAGAAGGATTAATTATTATGTGCGAATGCCGAACATCATTCGGAGATTAATCAGCATGTGCCACATCACCTCTTGCTCGGTATCGTGGCTCGGTACTACTCTGTACTGCTCGGTACCGTGGCTTGATATTATGTCATCCCTTGCTCAGTACCGTGGCTCGGTACTATTCTGTATCGTTTGGTACCGTAGCTCGGTATTGCTAATGTGTCGTATTCTGATTGGTCTCCGGACAACGTTATGCATCCTATTTCTACAACGAATAGTTTCTCCTGAAGAAGTCAACGTACTTCTGCTACCACCCTAATTAAATATTATGATAAATCCTCGCTAGGTGTTATATCATATTCTTTCATGCATCACCACACTTAGCTTATTGGGTTTTGCGTCCTTTGCTTTGACATATGAGAAGGTAGGCTCAGTATTTTCTGTGGATATATTCCTATATATGAGGTTGAAGCTTCCACGCGTTCAGGACAAAAGAAGAAAAAACTGGATGTTTTATTGATATAAAATTATTTTTACCTTCTTGCTGTTCTTCTTTGATGTTGATCCATCTGATAGATAGTCTTCATATCGTCACCTTTCTTTTTCACCTATGCTATCTTATTCTTGCACACCACAGAGAGAGAGGAGCTTATTCTTCATATCTATCTTCTTTCTTTTTTACCTATGCTAGCTCTTCCATTCTTGCACACTACCAGGAGATCAGGTAAGTAGATGATGACATTGTAGTGTTCTAGAATTTGAGAAATTATTGCTTGAATTCTAACAAGATAATATTTTCTTTGTGATTGTCGTTGGAAAGTGTACAATGAGTGGGAAGCATGTTGGAGTTGATTACTAAGGCACTGTTTGGTAGCACCCAGGATTTGATTTAAGTAGGATTTCATAGATTTGCTCAATTCGGATTTCAGAAATCTTGAAAACTGTTTGGTAAACATTCATGATAAATCATATTAAATTACGTGTGACTGTTTGGCTATAGAACGGATTTAATGAGCGGACTCTTCCTCTCGAGCCAACAAATTTCGTAAATCCAACAAAAAAATAAGATTTTGAAAATTCGGGATTTAGCACTAAAAAACTGAATTTTTCGTTTACGACGGCTTTCATTTGCCGTGAGATTTGATTTTGTATTTTAGGTTGTTTGACTGGGTTTTGCTCAAATCCGCCTCAAATCCGGCGTAAATCCGGCTACCAAACAACCCGTAAGGGTTATGGTCAATGTATATTCTTGTAATGATAGATGATCTTTAACTCAATAAAAAATAATTGTGATAATAAAGGATAAAAGATGCAGTAATTATTATTTTAGTCGTTCGTTCTCTTATTTTTTTTATGTTGGACAAAGCTGATCCAAACAGGAGATTTTCTTTACTAGGTCGCCCTAAAGTATATCCTTGATAGAATAAAAAATAAAGCAACATCTTTATCTAGAAGAAGCTGAAAAACTTCCTAATATATGCTGCTAACACTTATCTTTTTCACTATTGTTAAGCAATTCCTCCTGCAAGATTTATGGTGGAAAATGTTGGTCATTTAAAAAGAAGTAGAATATTAAGTTTAGCTAGTGTTGTGGAGATGAGAATGCTCGGGCGGATGAGTGTCTTTACTCTTAGAGACAATGTATGAAATGAGCATATAAGTGAAAAAGTTGGAGTAGCACAGTGGAAGATAAGATTAGAGAGAATCACCTTAGATTGTTTGGTCGCATGAAACGGCGGGCTTCTGATGATCTGGTTAGGAGAGTAGATGTATTAGATTTTGCTTATGTTAAGAAAGGTAGATGTGGATCTAAAAAGACTTGGTTATAAAATATTAAAAATGATATTTCTTTTCTATATTTAAATGAAAATTTGACTCTTAACAGAATAAAATGGAGAAAAAATATTCATGTAATCAACCCCAGATAGTGGAATAAAGGCTTGATGTTGTTGTTATATTGTTGTTAAACAATTCCCCTCTCTTTTGATTCTATTCTCTTTATTTGTATGTTATTGTGGGATCCAACCTTATTATGTTAAGAATGTTTTAATGATAACAAAAGACATGGGTATAAAAACTTAAAAAAACTGTATAATCTTGATACGTTATTAAAAAATTTATCTTGATCATGCACGAATCTCAAGGCAAAATCAAATCATAAATTTTTCAAATTAAATTTGGAATCATCCAAACTCCAATTTCAACAAACTTACAGTCAAACTAAACATCTCAAAAGTACGAACCCAACGTCACCAAATTCAACTCAATACGAGCCCAAATGGGTCCAAATCAAAGACTCAAAACCCATTTAAAAAGTTAAAACCATAAACTGAATGACCAAATAATTTTCAAACTTGACATGCTTATAATCGAATCGAGTGGCTAGATAAGACGAATCCAACGAGCCCAAGATCGTCAAATTTTGATATTATTAAGACATTCAAATCCTCAATAAATGATCCACAATCAAGGGGATCAACATCGATCTTCCATTCAAAACACTCCCAACTTACCCTTGATCTCCTTCTTCTTTATTGGTCATGCCACTATTAGAAAGCTATAAATAGACCCCACATTTCTCATGGAAGGGGGACTAAGGCAGAGGAGAAGAAAGAGAAGGAAGATAGAGAAATTAGAGTTCTCTTTCCACCACACTCATCCTCGATCACCGTCAGACTTCTGCCCGATCGTTGACTGACGCCGAACTTTTGCCTGATCATCGACTAACATCCAACTTACGCCCGGTCACCAACTAATGTTGGACTTTCTCCCAGCCATCAACTAATACCAGATTTCGTGTGACTGTTTGGCTATAGAACCGATTTAAAGAGTGGACTCTTCCTCTAGAGCCAACGGATTTCATAAATCCAACAAAAATTAAAATTTCAGAAATCCGGGATTTAACATGAAAAGGCTGAATTTTTCGTCTATGGCGGCTTTCATTTGCCGTGAGATTTGATTTTGCATTTTAGACCATTTGGCTGGATTTCGCTCAAATCCGCCTCAAATCCAACCTAAAATAGCCCCTAAGGGTTATGGTCAATGTATTCTTGTAATGATAGATGATCTTTAAGTCAATAAAAAATAATCATGAAAAGGATAAAAGATGTAGTAATTATTATTTTAGTTGTTCTCTCATTTTTTATGTTGGTCGAAGCTGATCCACACGAGAGATTTTCTTTACTATGGCGCCCTAAAGTTTCTCCTTGATAGAATAAAAAATAATATCAACATCTTTATCTAGAAGAAGCTGAAAAACTTCCTCCTATATGCTGCTAACACTTACATTTTTTCACTATTGTTAAGCAATTCCTTCTGCAAGATTTATGGTGCAAAATATTGGTCATTTAAAGAGAAGTATAATATTAAGTTTAGGTAGTGTTGTAGATGAGGATGCTCGGGTGGATGAGTGTCTTTACTCTTAAAGATAATATATGAAATGAGCATATACGTGAAAAGGTTGGAGTAGCTTCATTGAAAAATAAGATCAGAGAGAGTCTCCTTAGATGGTTTGGTCACATAAAACGGCAGCCTTCCGATGACCCGATTAAGAGAGTAGATGTCTATATTTTGCTTATATTAAGAAAGCTAGAGGTGGATCTAAAAAGACTTGATTAGAAAAATATTAGAAATGATATTTCTTTACTATATTTAAATGAGAATTTGACTCTTAATAGAATAAAATGAAAAAAAAAAAAAATCATGTACCTAACCCTATGTAGTGGGAAATGTAATAATCCTTATCTTAACTCAGGTAAATATTTTTTCTAGAGTCATTATAATTCTAAATCACAAATCGTCTTCGTCATAGTGTTGTTATTGTAGTATTTTAATTACACGAATATTTTCGTAATTTTTTAGCACCGGTGAAAATCCTTAAAAAATTAATATATGTCGATACAATTGAAAATTTTGGGACTGTCAGATGTCCATTTTGCAAACCAATTTCATTGATATTTTCTATATAAAATGAATTATAGATACTGTTTTGTTGTTTATTACTGATAGATGATATTAAATAGCTATGATTGCAATTTATTAAAAATAAATAAATAATTCTTCTAATTTTGATTCTGGGGTATCACAAGATAAATATATGATGTTGTTGTTGTGTTATTGTTAAGCAATTTCCTTCTCTCTCTCTTGATTCTCTTTTCTCTTTATTTGTTTGTTATTGTGAGATCCCAACTTATTATTTTAAGACCATTTTAATGATAATAAAAGACATGAATATAAAAAACATAAGAATAACTATAATCTTCGGATATTTCAAAGGTTTACTAAAAATGTAATCATATATTTACACATCTTAATAAAGTATTTACAGCAAATAAGAGATCTCATATATCATATTTATATTTAATTAGTAGAAAATTTTTACTCAACAGAACACTCAAACTACTGGGAACAATTATTACGTCCTTCGACCAGACATAGAGGAACATCTGGTCGGAGGTCAAATCGCGCCAAAAAACAAGAAATACCGAGCAAATACCGAGTATACCAAACAATAACGAGGAATACCATCACGTGAAAACCCAATACCGAGTTATACCGAGCTATACCGAGCAATACCGAGTTATACAAAAGTTGTACCGAGTTTTTGCTCGATATAACTCAGTATTGCTCGATATAACTCGGTATTGCTCGATATACCTCGTTATTATCAAATAATACCTAGAAATACCAAGAAAATACCAAATTTTTTTGTGGGATTTTGCCTCTGACCGGACGTTCCTCTGCTCGGTATAACCTTGTTATTGATCTTCACAGGACGTGAACAATGCTCAATATGGCAAATGCTCATCCATACCTTCCTTGTCCTTTGAAAAATTCAAGAGAGATAATATTTATCATTCTATCATATTTAAAGGCCTGTGTTGTTTCTCCTTTTTCTACATCAATTTGTGGCAGCGAGATTTGGAGCCCACAGCCTCCTTTAATTTAATGCTATCTGATAATGGACCACCAAAAAAAAAAAAAATCTTTATAACAAAACAATTATTATTTCATCTTCCCACTGATAATGCTTGCTTGCATTATATGCCAATATATAAATATTTTTAATTTTATTTCTCAATTCAAATGTTATTGTCACCAAGAATGACAATTGTTGTCCCTCATAAAGTTTTGACTCTATAATCATCAACAATATCTAAGCCTCTCATTGCCACCAAAGTTGGTGCTGACGAGAATTTTAGCTCCACTCTGTTTATAGTGCAACTGAATCATTGAGCAGCCGTCTGTCAGCCACTATTATCAACCACTTTTTCACTTTATGTAACCGCTTAGAGTACTTTATTATTTGCACATTATCCTTCTACTATTATGTATAAAGCTACCTCTAAGTGTATTACAGAAATCATTAATGGATACAATGGTTAATGTTCATATTATCTTTACCTTTCTACAGCTCATCCTGTTGCTATCGTGTGAGTTTAATGTAGTAAGCATTCCACAGGAGCAAGCCATTGTCATTAAGCCCAACATTTGTTATCATTAGTAATGTCGAAGGCACCCATCACCCTGACGAATACACATCGACTACACTAAAACCCCAATGGTCATTGTAGCTTACATGCTTTGATTATGGCCCTTGTTGATACAAATGTTATCACTCATTGTCCGCACCAAGACCAACGACATCCATCATCATCAATAACTTTAAATATCACATTCATCACTAGGCCACATTCACCTTTGCCATCGTCATCAACGCCTAACATCATCACTAGTAGCGATGCTTGTTAATGCTTGTTAATGCATGTTATCACCTAAGATGTTGAAATCAGCTATCACCACTGACTCATATGCTTTCCATCGTCGACAAAATTGACATCTATCATCACTGAGGTCAACAATCATCATTGCAAATATTAAAGGCATCCAAAATTTTCAACAAGTTGATCTCCACCATTCATTACAGATACATCTAGTGATGATCTCCACCATTCATTCAAACTACAAATAGTGCCAATTTGTTGAAGCATGAGCTTAGTTATATATGTAATTTCTTTTCTATATTTTATTTAAGACAAGGAAGGACCAGTGATAATTCATTATACAAAAATATAAATATGTAAATATATGCAAATTTCCCCCCAAAATTTTATTAATAGCATCCCTAAAAAGCTCACCGTCGGGAGCTCTAGTTGGTTCAAGTTAGGGTGCTCGGATACAAGGCAACGAGCCAGACCCTACTCTTCAATTTTTACAGTTTTCCAAGTCTCCGAGTCCTCGATGGAAGACGACGATGAGTCTCCTCCACTTGCCGTTCGCATCGATGAACTGCCGGAACCGATTCAACTGGAATCTTCCTTGTGCTCAGACACTTCCGGGGGAAACAAAGAGGAAGCTACCGTGGGAGTCACCGTCATCACCGGCTATCTCGGTGCCGGCAAATCTACGGTGTGTTCGAACTTTGAATCACGATTAATATTCTCATTTCTTACCTATGCTAATAATTTTTGTATTATTCTTGTTTTTTCGTAGCCATTTCTTGATGTCAATCGGTTTATGGTGTTTGTTTCGATGGGGCTTTGCATTGTTTGATCATTTAGGGTTTTGAATATTTTGCAGATTTTATTTATATTTGCTTATGGTATTTGTCTATTTGATAAAGGAACAGTAGAATTGGGGGTAATTTTGTGAGGTAAAGGAGCGTACAGCTTTTGATTAAATTTCCAATTGCCCAAAGCTGCAGTGGCTGCAATATGACAGCTATCAAGTAGAAGTGTACTCTGTCATTTATGGTGATTTGGAAAAGATAATGGGTGGCCAGGTTGGAGATTCTGGATGTGCAAGAATGCTGTATTGAAGGACGGAACTTTACATTGCTTGCCGAGAAGGCCCAATATTTTTATCTCCACTGGTGATTCTCCAGTTCACCACTGTGCTCTGTTTCTCCTCATCCTCTTCATCTTTCCGTCCTGTTCTCGTAATTATTTCTTTAGAGTTTATTCTGGCAGGATTAATTGATTTTAGATGCTCCAGGTTGAATTTTGACTGCTCTTTTACGTGTTAAGTTCAACTAGTTAAATGACTGTAAAGAGTAATGCTTCCCAAGCTCAGCAAGTTAACACACACACACACACATATACATACATATTTAGGTAACTTAAGCGGGTGTAGAAAGCATTTATTTAATTGTTGACATTTTAATTTGATGTAGTGGATCGTCGGAAGACTCGACCTGCAAGAAGGATTTCGTTTTCTCAATCCAGGGAAGAAGAAGAAACAAGCTTCAAAGCTTTAAAAAGGAGATAATATTCATTCAATGCTTTCCCTACTACAAAACCTGCTATTTATAAAGCTAAAAGAGCATTATAGAAGCTAGTTCTAATAATTAGATAAAATGTTCCTAAGGAGAATTATTAGCTTAAAATGCTCCGCATCATTCTCCCCTTGCGTAAAAAGGCTCGACTCCGTCGAGGCTCGTCATCGGGAGATGGTAGATATCGAAATCAATCCTCCTGGATCGAATATTTTGAATGCAGATAAAATATTCTTCCATGTATCTCCATCAAAAGAAACTGGTAAGGCATCAAAAGGAGCTGGCAAGGCATTAGCATCCTTTAAAGCAAGCTTGGGTTCCAGATTGTCAATCTCCACATCACTGACTGCCATACTTCCATGTATAGCGTCACTAATTGCTTTGTCTTCAGATCTGACAGCAAGTTTCATCTTAGATGCTTGGCAGAGGCCATTAATCAGCGTGTTATAAATATGAGAATTAGGATGACAACCTTGTCTAGCCATCCGATCAAAAATGCTAACTGTTTCCTCTAATCTATCATTCTTGCACAAACCATTAATCATAGAGGAATATGAATAAACATTTAATATGTTCTCTCCATTCTTCTAGGCCACATTCAAAGCCTGCAGAGCCTTGCCAATGTACCCACTCTGACATAATCCATGAATGATAACGCCATAAGTCACCTGATCGGGCTGGAATTCATTGCTTATTTTCAAGTGCTCAAAAAGCCAAGATCTGAGTATGGAGACTGATCTGTCCGGCAAACCTCGCTGAGGTCTACAGGCCTCCTGCTCCATCATTCCCATCTGATGAAAAGCCCTCTGTTGCCTTAAATTCTGATCAATAAGCCTTAGCTTGGGTGTCTTGTTAATAGCTGCCTGTGGAATTACCGTGCCATCATAATCCAACAAAATGGCTCGGCTCTTAGACCTCTGATAGGATGAAACAATACCATCAATGTTGAGCTTCCGGAAGTTCGGATCAAGTGCAACAACTCTGAAACCAAATCCCAAACCAATTTCCCAGCATCTCTTCTTGAAGTGGTCCTTGCATGTCCTCTCTAAGTCGAGCATAAATGACTTGGACCAGTAAACAGCATCATGAGTGCTGACATAACTGTAGTGCATTTCATGGCGAACTTACTTCTCTACATCATTCATTGATATTGCTTCGTTCATAGCCTCTGCCGTCAACTCTGTGTTCCAAGGATTAATTCGAATTGCTCCACTAAGTGAAGGAGAGCATCCGATGAATTCAGAAACCACAAGCATGCTCTTCTTTGAACCATCTGAACCAGAACCAGAATCCGATCCGGAAGCAATTCCTTGCCTACTGACAATGTATTCATAAGGTGTAAGGTTCATTCCATCCCTCACTGCAGTGACCACTACACAATCTGCTATTGTATCGTAAGCAATTCTCTCCTCAATTGATACTGGCCGATCAATGAAGACAATAGGTTTGTAATCAGCATTCCTAAATAGCTGATTGATCCTCCTGCAGCTCTGCTGAATCTCCAACTGGATCTCTTCAAGACCCCTTCCCCTGCCCCTTGCAGGGTTGTCAATTTGCACAAGGACAACATTGCCCTGCCACTTGGTGTGTATCTTCAACATTTGTTCAAAGACCAAGAGCTTGAGATTTATACCTTTGAATATGTCCATGTCATCGACACCTAGGAGGACCATCTTTCCAGCTAATTGATGTTGGAGTTGCGAGATGCGCCAGTCCTTATCCGGCAAGGCGAGGGCTGATTGCAGCTGCCCCATGTGAATACCCACCGGCATGATCTTGATTCCCACATTACGACCAAAGTACTCGAGTCCTATATAGCCGCGCTTGGACTGATACTCAATGCCTAGCATTCGGCTGCAGCAAGAGAGGAAGTGGTGGGCATAATCGAAGGTGTGGAAGCCAACCAGGTCGTAGTTGAGAAGGGCTTTTAGGATCTCCTCACGCACAGGAGGGTGCGATAGATCTCCGATGAAGGGAATGGGCTGTGTAGGAAGAATCTCATCCGGAGGTGATTGAAGCGGCGGCGAAGGAAGGTAGGGATCAACAGAGTGGCGCCGGCGCCATTGGAGCCACCTGGGAACTCTGCGTTCGAGTCGGAGTCAGCGTCGGGCTGTAGATCTGCTTAGATAGTGGGTACGAGAGCGAAATTGAGCTGGACGAGCTGGACGGGAAAACTTTGGTCAAATGGAATCGGAGTAGTAGCTGTGAGTGTTGGATCTCGCATCTCCGAGTCCAAAGGAACGGAAGACGGGAGTTCTGTGCGTGTTCAGATGAGCTGAGCAGAGGCGGAATCAACCATAGTAGCGGCAGTTTCTTCGTGGGTTTCCATATCGCAATCGCTAGGTTTGCCTTTCTCAGTCGGAACAACCACATTATGTTCGCTTATGCTTCGCGGATCAGAAACCCGCTCGACGGGCTCTAGATGGTGGGAGGCGTTGAAGACGCCCTCGGGTTGGTTGCGAACTGCGCGAACAGGCGGAGGATCTCGCCATCACAGAGGTAGCTTGAGCGGCGGATACACGGGCGGCGGATCGTGCCATCGGAGAGGAAGTTCTAGCGGAGGGTAGTCATCAACGACGATGGGAGAATGGTGGGACTGATGGCGTTTGCGTGAAGCGGACAAGGAGATCAAAGAAGAAGAAGAATACCTCGGTATGGTTGCTGACGACATTCGCATCTTTCTTATTGCCCGAAGGTTCCTGTCGATCCGATCCAGTGAATCCTTCGCTTGAGATTGATAGAAGGCGATCCGGCTTCGAGCATCGTCGACAGCCCACCTTCCTTGGCGTCGGTCGTCGTTGACCGCCAATCTTATTTTGCGGCTTCGATCGTCGTCGACAGCCGACCTTCTTCCGCAGTCCATCGATCTTCACAAGCTCCAGGCTCTGATACCAACTGATGTAGTGGATCGTAGGAAGACTCGACCTGCAAGAAGGATTTCGTTTTCCCAATCCAGGGAAGAAGAAGAAACAAGCTTCAAAGCTTTAAAAAGGAGATAATATTCATTCAATGCTTTCCCTACTACAAAAACTGCTATTTATAAAGCTAAAATAGCATTCTAGAAGTTAGTACTAATAACTAGATAAGATATTCCCAAGGAGAACTATTAGCTTAAAATGCTTCGCATCATTAATTGTTTGGTTTAAATTAACTCTAAATCCTTGTTATATTAATTGTGTTTGATATACATGTTTTATTGTTTTGTTAACTAAATCTAATGTTATATCTCATATTTACCTTACTTTTTAGATGTTCTAACCTTAGGCATTCACTTTGGTTGTCAATGGTGACTATGCCACTCAACTAAGTTGTTGCCTTGTTGGTGATGTTTTGCAGAAGATATTATGATCCAACCTTAAGCTATGATATGAAATTTGGTGTTGGAGATCTTTGGGTATAGGTTTTTATTCCTGATATTTGATAAAATGCATAAAATTATGCACCTCAGAGAATTCATAGGTCACAAACTCTTGATATTTACATATTATTTGTTATTTCCGTTGAAAAAAAAACACAAATACAATCAATTTAGAAGAAAATTCCAATGACCTTTGCTAAGAATGCATAGAAATTTTAGAACCAAGAAAACTATGCAACAAATTGACATTCGTGCACTTGGTGAAAGTTATGTTGTGCAAGATCTGTATAAAATTAATCATGTAATCAATCCAATAACTAAGTTAGAGCCACCTAAATTGGAAGAATCAACCCTTGTGCTTGTACATTGAGATAATATATTTTTTAAATATTCAAATCTCTCAGTCAATCAATGTGTTGGCTTATTGCAATAAAAGGAATTAACTATAACTTTTATTAAATACAAAATTGATTTATTAGGTTTTTTTACAAGACAAATACCCTATTTGTAATTACAATTCATTTGGAATTTTCCAAACAATCACACATATATAGAAAGAAAAAAAAAGATCCCTTGAAATAGAAAATTGTTGACATTTCTTGAAGGAATATAAAAAATGCTATAGCAGAGGAAAAATTATTCAACTGCAAATCCATCATTTTGATCACAAGATGCCCACATCTCGTGTTGCAGACACTAGTGAGGTGGAGGAATCTCGCAAGTCCCGCACTAGAGAAGAATGGAGAAGTTAGCTACGTGCATGTTTTGTTGAATCTTGATAAATTCTAGTCATCTGCAGGAATCACAACTAAATACACTAGATATTATAACCCAAGGGTGTAATATTTGCTAGGGCATGACAACTCCAGAAGATGAGAAAACAATGACCAGCCTTTGAATAATAAAACCAGATGGTTCATCGAAATAACTATGCATCACTTTGAAACCTTGATTTCTATTAGTTAAAGTAGTACATTTTAATCAAGTGTATTTATATATATATATATATATATATATATATAT